CGTCTTCTAGAGCGTGAGGAGCAGCAGCGTTTGGAGCGTGAGAGGTCGGAGGTTCAGCAGCGGGTGGAGCGTGAGCGGTTGGAGTTTCAGCAGCAGCAGCAGCCGCAGCCACAGCCACAGCAGCAGCAGCAGCAGCAGCAGCAGCAGCAGCAGCAGCAGCCGCAGCAGCAGCAGCAGCAGCAGCAACAGCAGCCGCAGCCACAGCCACAGCAGCAGCAGCAGCAGCCGCAGCAGCAGCAGCAGCAGCCGCCGCAGCTGCCGGAGCAGCCTCCGGCCCCTGTTTCTGGCCTTCGGGCCCTTGGTCTCCCCTCCTCTCCTCCTGTGTTCGGTCCCACGTTTCCTCCTCCGGACTCCACTCCGGCTGTCTTCCCTCGTTCTCAGTCTCCTCCGTCCCCCCCTCCTCTCGCCCACACTTGGGCCTCTCGCCCTCCTCGTGCTCGTCCCTCGTCCCCTGTCACTGACCTCCGTACCGTGTTGTTTCGTCCTCGTCCTCCTCGTTCTCCTCCGTCTGTCCTTCCTCGTCCTCCTGAGTCTTCCCTCACTGCCTCCCTGTCCACTCCGGTCACTGACTACTACCGCACGTACCGCCCCACTCTCTCTCGTGTTCTCGCCTCTCTTGTTACAGACCCTCGTGCCTCTCCTTCCTCCGTCGCGGTCCTCACTGCCGCTGTCACTGACTTTACTGCTACGCGTCGCCTTGACTACGCCACTCGAGTTGTGGCAGCTCCTCCTGACCGTCCTCTGTCCGCCGGGGGTGTGTGTGCCCTTGGCTGTGACGTCCTAGAGGACAGACAGTTTGAGCTAGAGTTCCTGGCAGCTGCTTCGCCTCATCTCTGTGCCATGCTGCTCACTCCTGAGGGAGACCCCGACGCTCCTGACATACCTACTCCTCGCACTTATGCTGAGGCAGTGTCAGGGCCTTGGGCCTCTCAGTGGAGAGCTGCCATGGACGCAGAGATGGCTCCTACAGGTCCACAGGCACTTACGTTGACGAGGTTCCCCCCCCAGGGGCGAACATTGTTGACGGCATGTGGATCTTCAAGGTGAAGCGGCCGCCGGGATCTCCCCCAGTCTTCAAGGCACGCTACGTGGCTAGAGGGTTCAGTCAGCGCGAGGGGGTTGACTTCTTTCAGACCTTCGCGCCCACCCCGAAGATGACCACTCTTCGGGTGTTACTGCACGTAGCAGCGCAGAGAGACTATGAGCTACACTCTCTTGACTTCTCCACTGCCTTCCTCCAGGGCTGCTTACACGAGGAGATCTGGCTGCGTCGTCCTCCGGGCTTCACTGGCACTTTCCCGCCTGGGACCCAGTGGAGCCTCAGACGACCGGTCTACGGCCTCCGCCAGGCACCCCGTGAGTGGCACGACACTCTCCACTCTACTCTCTCCGACCTCGGGTTTGAGCCGTCTTCCGCCGACCCGTCGCTGTTTGTTCGTCGTGGCCGTACACCTTTCTTCGTCCTAGTCTACGTTGACGACTTGGTTTTTGCCACGGCCGACACAGCTGCACTGGCGGAGGTGAAGTCCGAACTGCAGAACAGACACACCTGCACTGACCTTGGGGAACTGCGCCGCTATCTTGGCCTGCAGATCTCCAGGGACAGAGCCGCTCGCACCATCACTCTCACTCAGTCACACATGGTGCAGCAGGTTCTTCAGCGGTTCGGGCTTCAGGACTCTTCTCCTGCCCCCACTCCTCTTGCTGTAGACCACAGACTCACTGGGCCTTTTCCTGACGAGCCGTTCGAGCCTAGTGGTCCCTACGCAGAGCTGGTGGGCTGCCTCATATACCTGATGACGTGCACTCGCCCGGACCTCGCCTTCCCCCTTAGCATCCTGTCTCGCTTTGTTGCGACTGGGAGACACCGTCCTGTTCACTGGGCGGCGGCTAAGAGGGTGGCGAAGTACCTTGGCGCGACATCAGGCATGGGGCTTGTACTTGGAGGGACACAGCCAGTTGTACTCACCGGTCACTGTGACTCTTCCTACGCTGACGACGTTGAGACTCAGAGGTCTACGCAGGGTTACTGTTTCAGCCTGGGTTCTGGAGCTGTTTCGTGGAGGTCTACTCGGTCCTCCTCTGTTGCGACTTCTACCGCAGAGGCCGAGATCTACGCTGGGGCCCTTGCTGCTCAGGAGCTACGCTGGTTGACCTTTTTGCTCACTGACCTTGGTGAGCGGCCGAGCTCTGCACCGACCCTGTTTGCTGACAACAGGGCGATGATTCTCCTGTGTCGTGAGCCTCGACTGGAGAGCAGAGTGAATCACATCGACGTCAGGTACTTCCTCCTTCGAGAGTTGCACAGACGCGGACAGGCTCGTCTGGACTTTGTGGCCTCCGAGGCCAACACTGCAGACATCTTCACCAAGGCCCTCCAGCCTTGTGACCACCGTCGGTTTTGTCTGCAGTTAGGCCTCGTTGAGACTGGGTCTAGTTGACTGTTGTAGGGTGCTCTTTGTCTGTTGCTTGCTTGTACCTTATATATATATATATATATATTTGTTTGCACACTTTTGGACTGGCCTTGTGGCCCTTTGCTTGTGCTCAGATTAGGTGGTGACGTTGTGATCCACCCTGAGCTTTGTTTTCTTTCTCTTGTTTTTGACGGGTCTTGTGACCGTAGGTTGCTTGTTGTTGATTGGCCTTCCCCACTTAGGCTATGGGGGTGTGTCAAATATTATAGCCTGTAGTGGGTTGGGCTATATGGGGTACAACTAGTTAGGGTTAGGTTATGTACCCCAATTCTGTCAATACAACGCATTCCGCTGTAGTTCTCATTCTGACAAAAAGGCCCTTAGGATCTTTGGAGGGGTGAACTCTGGGTAGAGTTGGTGTAGTAGCGGAAGCGTTTAATAAAGAGTTTGTGAACCATCTTACGTTAGTATGTGAGGGCAAAGTAAGTTGATTAAAACAAAGAGATACGAGATTATATATGAATAGAGGGAATATGAAAAGACACAGTTATAACTACTTTACTGTTGCTGTTGCGGTTCGATATAGTGACGACTCGGGCAACTGCTCTGTAACGAGTCAGTTGTGTGTCCTTGCTGTCGCGCTTTTTTGTCAGGTCAAAGGTCGCTGACCTTTGACTTTCGCGTAACCTCCAGCGGTTACTTCAACCTCCGAGGGTTGACTCTTTGGTGCCTCGATATGCGTTGCTTCGCTTGTGCCTTAGTGTTTCGACACGACAGAGGCGCTTAGGAACGGTTGTTTCCAATATTAGGGTAGGAAAGGGGGTACACCACCAAATAGGATATCACGATATTACTACACTAACGTTAGAACTACATGCAGTTATAACTACATAATTCTGACACAGAGTGACTACTAAACTGGAGGTGGAGTGTTGCAGGGCAGGCAGCAGGGCTCGTTCAGATAGCTGCGGATGATTTGAATTCGAGTCGTTGAGGGGTCAAGTGATGACTACAAAAGTGCCTCGAATTTGGGGGAGATGATGCTAGGAGGATGGGTATGTCCCGAATTTAGTGTTCTCCGAAGTAGGGATGATACCAGTAGGTGCACTTCATGTGACATAGGGTAGTACACGGGACACAACACACTTGTAGATCAGTCAGTGTAGATCAGTCAGCACACTCAGATGTGACTAGGCATACATTTGCACAAATTGCTGGCATACATTTTCACAAATTGCATGGTACTACTTTCATATTTATTTCCCTAGATACGTACACCTGTATATCACTCTCAGCTTACCGTAACTGCTAACACATCTTGGGTCGCACGAATAAATCAATTGGCTGCCAAAAACCTGTGTACAAACACGTTCTTTTGAACCACTGCCTCAATCTTGCCGGCCAAGGATGATTGCCTTCTATTACCTAGTATATCCTGTACATGCCCCTTCCATACTCATGCGCTTGCAACCATGGCTGTTTTTATGAACTCGTAACGAGTTATTTCCTGACCATAGTGTCAGTCCGCGGCGGGCACAACATGGCTTTAACTCGCTTCACGGGCGGCAACGCGAACAACTCGTCGCACGCGCCGCTCCCGGCGAGAGTGCCGGCGCAGGAGACGGCGGTGGAGAGGAGGAAGAAGGACGCGCAGATGACGTTGAAGATAGACGTTCCTCCCATCACCATGGCGCGACGGCGAATGAGGGAAGGCGGATTGGTGGAGTTCGGCGCGCAGGTTCGACAAGTGACTTTTTTAAGTCGACTCAAAAGTCACCGCGAGGGAACGGCGGATAGCGGATCAGACCGACGCGCGGGGATGCCTAGTCTGCTGCGAAAGATGTAACCCTTAAGTTGTTACTCGAGGATGTCGGTAATGTCATAAACGACTTGACAGGACGGTAACGTCGAAGAGTGCTAGAGAGAAGAGCTCTGATATTGAAAGCCGAAACGGCCGGCAGATGTCGCGAGTGCAGACGGTATGCTCATGGAGGCGACTAGCCGTCGACTGCGGAGGGAAAGTGATTAATTAAGCATTGACAACTGGACTGACAGAAAGCGAAGAGTTGCAGTGTGAGGGATCAGCAATCCGTGGCAACTACATAGGAACATATGCACCCGCGAAAGGCGGGAGACTTGGCTACCTGAGTTTCAGCATCCAAGATCTGGTCTGGGCGGGTTCAGGTTGGTTCTGGAATTTGGATATCTCCCCATCTCTGCATTTGAAAGTTTCAAGGTTTGGCTTGTGCATTAGTTTCATCGATTCTTACATTTCGGCGGTTTCATACAAAAGCGATCCTTTAAAAGCTGAATATTTGCGGCATCCACAGGGTGCCACATACACACAATGCGTGTGTTTCTAGCCCTACCGGAACCAACCTCGACGTGCCATTTCAGACAGCGAGATGACCCGTGGTTAGCCAGGTCAGCCTCGACATTTCCGGCAAACCAAACCCAATCCAATTCCTGGTTTCCCATTTCGATCACTTCACAAGGCGAATTCATACTTGACCTCTATTCATTGTCTTGTCATTTCCCGCTTCTTGCTTTCCCTCAAGCTCTCACCTCGTCGTATCCTGTCGCATGCCGATTCGGCTTATGGCGGCGTCGCTTCTTGCTCCCGTCAGCTCTCGCCTCGTCGTATCCTGTCGCACGCCCTGTCGCGCATCTGTCGCTAATGCGGCTGAATGGGGACGACGAGAGTTGAACACGCGACGTCGCCTCGTTTTCTGCTCAGCTCAACCGCCCGCAAGCAACGCAGAGAACGACAAGGATAAAAACGACAAAAGCCAAGAACAACAGCCCTACCCAGAACCCATCGCCCCGCCTCCCGCAGCGTCATTCGCGGCGTCTCCTGAGGGGCGCGATGCGATAATGGCGGAGCTGGATCGCGCGTTGAGCGGCGAGGAGTCGAAGGCGCTCTGGGCGGACCTCGAGTCAGCCGCGCTGCGCGTTTCCCGCGCGCGCGCGTCGTACGAGGAGATGGAGAAGAAGGAGAAGGAGCTGCTCGCGCTCAAGGCGGAACTGGAAGCCGCCGCGCTGATGGAGGCGGAACTCGCGCAGGCGGACGCGCAGGTGAGCGGAAAATATCAGAGCCGGCGCAAGCGGGAACCAGGGGGTATGAGGGAAGATTTGGGGGGGGTTGGGGGGGGGGGGAAGAGGAGGGAGAATAAACAAGCGCCCTAAAAACAACTCTCTAGAGGGTTAAAACCCGCCCTTGAGTCCACCACCTGCGCATAGATATCACACTGGAAATGCGATGAGGCAACTCCGGAACCGAAGTCTGATCGCCCCTTGCAGGCGATCACACAACTCTAAATCCTGATCCAGGGTCTCCCCCTGCAGGTCCTGCATGGTCCCGCATGGCCCCCCTACATCCCTCCACACTATCCCCCACACTTCTCGCGAAACCATCCCCTCAACCCCATTGTCTTGCTCTCCTCCGCTTCCAATACTTGCTCTCCGTCTCTCTCCATGTCCGCTTAATTGTCACTCTTCCCCTCCCATTCACCCCCTCCCTCTGCCATCCTCATTCCCCCCATCCTGCTGCCATCCTCATTCCCCCCATCCTGCTGCCATCCTCATTCCCCCCATCCTGCTGCCATCCTCATTCCCCCCATCCTGCTGCCATCCTCATTCCCCCCATCCTGCTGCCATCCTCATTCCCCCCATCCTGCTGCCATCCTCATTCCCCCCATCCTGCTGCCATCCTCATCGCTCCCCAATCCTTCCGCCATCCGCACTTCTCCTCCCCATGTTATGCCCCTCTGTCACCCCCCCTCCTCCCCCCCCTCCCTTCCCCTCCGCCGCTAAACTCTGCAATGGCAGCAGCTATGACAGCCTTCCCTTTCTCCCCTCCTACCTTTAAGAACTTTAGGAAGGGAGCTTTGAGCGAAGATTAAACATGACATCTTAAGACTAGTTTGTGGAGGCTAAATCGCCATCTGGACACCTCCCTCCCTGTCGCTTTGTACCCTTTAGGTGGAGAAGCTCGAAGCTGAGGTGGCTGCAGCAGAGCAGGCAGCCAGGGCTGCCGGAGCAGCCCTCATCGAGGCTCGGGCAGGCGGCGGCTTCCGAACCAGCAGCGCAGGCTCGGGGGAACAAACAGCCGGAAAATGGGCGGTGAGCACCGGCACGATCGATGACGACAAAGAACGAGTGGAATCAGCCAAGGCGGCCACTGTAGCAGCTGTAGCTGGCACTGTAGCAGGCCTGCCATTCCTGCTGAGTCAGCGAATACAGGAAGGAGGGACGGGATTGAGTTTCCTGGTGGCAGCGGCGGCGCTAGCAGCAACATGTGCTCTGTTCGGTGTAACCTACCGGTACATAGTCCGGAAAGACATGGGAAACATTCATCTTAAAGCCGGGGCGGTGGGTGCTTTCGGGCTAGCGAGAGGGCTGGCTCAAGTGGACTCCACATTCTCTCTTGTGAGCGCAGGGTCTGCAAATAATGGTCTCTCGGATGACGTCATGGGTAGTATGACGGATGGTGCCTTGGTGCCGGTGGCACTATCGTTGCTGGAGGCAGGGGAGGGGGTGCTGGTGCTGGCCCTCACTGCCACTGCGCTTGAATACTGCCTGCAAACAGGATTCCTGTCCACGTTCCCTGCTGAAACATCCTCCGCATCTGATTCATCTCCAAAATAAGAGGTTCATTTCATATTAAATTCTAATGGAAAAGAAGACATGTATGGTAGTTCCGAGATATAAATTACTACTCAAAATGTTGGGTAGTAGTTCTGTATGTACTGTAGGGTTATGCAAGCCTTGTTGGTTTAGCCCATGGGTGTTCTAAAAAGGTCCTAATTCTCAGGAGTCCAGCAAGGGAAACGAGTTGTCCAGATTATAATAAGACGTCTTCATTTTCAATGCAATTTAGTGATCAAATTCCTACCACCTAAATCAGAGTAGGTCAATGCTTTCTGGGAGAATGAAGGTAATGGATTTCCATAATTGAGTAGGACAATTTCAGTATTCCATGTAAGAGTTGTATAAAGCTGTGACGACTACTCGATACAAGACACGGTCTTTCGGCAATCCCAAGGCCAACCACCCGCCGTCGGCTAATGATCTCCATTTCTTCCTCCACCTTCTCATCTCTGCTCGGTCGTTTCTATCTTCTAGTGACCAATGACCATTCCCACCATGACCATGACTTTTCGTGGTCAGATGGCTAAGTCTAGTTGACCTGTCTTTCAAATCAACATTGGCCTCGCATTGGCTTTGTTCTCTCTTACGCGAGTCGTAAGAGTTTTTCTTTTTGGGTTAGGTGCTTACATCCCGCCGACGTCCTAGGTTGAATCCTATGTGGCTTGCATTAGTCAGTGCAGCTGCTTCATTGACAATAATATTTTAAGCAATTGACGCATGCCAAATCGAGCGTATCTCACTTATTCTGCTTTCTCTTCGCAATCGCCGAAAGAATCTTAAGATTTCCCAACAACCTCCATTTAGCACCTTATTCTCCTCGGACACCTTAAGCGATAATTGGTGCCTTGCGATTCTCGCTCCGCAGCCTTATGCCTGTACCGCACTCGCTGCTGATACTAGGTAATGCAAAGCTCCTTTCATCGAAACCCTAGCGACTTGAGGGAGGAGAGCCCGAAGCGACTGCGCACCGAACGGGCAGAAGCACCATCAGCAGCATCTGCAGCTGCAGCAGCGACATCAGAAACCCTAATCGTCGGCATTCCTGTTTCCCACCCGCCTGCGCATTCTATCTTCGCTAACGAGGTGTCCGGCATAAACATTCCCGATACAGCGAAACATCTGGGTTCGGGAATGTCAACCCCAACCAGGGGCGGTCCCCCCGCCCCTGGAACCGAACCCCACCCCGCGACAAATCACCAAAATTCCCATCCTCACGCTCAGCATGCTTCACCGCACCAGCAGCACCGAGGCAGCGGATTGCCGGGCGACAAAGACGAACTCTCGCGAAACTTCCCCGTCGACGACATTGTGCAGCATCCGTTACCCGGTTACGTTTCCCCGTCCGCGATCGCGTTTAGTCCCGACGATCAAATGATCTCTTACCTGTTCAGCGAAGAGGGTACCCTCACGAGGAAGCTATTCGCGTACGAGTTAAAGACGGGTCAGCAGAGGCTATTAGTGGCTCCCCCGGGCGGCGGAGTCGACGAGGATAATCTCTCCATGGAAGAGAAATTAAGGCGCGAGAGGCAGCGGGAGCGCGGCTTGGGAATCACGCGCTACGATTGGTCCAAGAACGTGGCGGTTCCGCGCATCATGATACCGCTGCCAGATGGCGTGAGTTCATTGGCCTGCTGCTACCTGTGCCACCGCTGCAATTTGTGCCGTCGTTCCCGCGACTGTACATTGAAAAACCTTCTTGCCTTTCCCCCCCTGCCCCCCTTCCCCGGCCTCTCCCTTCTTACGACCCCAGCAATGATCTCCCCCCTGCTTTTTGCGCTCACCCTATCTCCCCCCCAAACCCCCCCCCCTTCCTTCTCCCTTCTCCCCCGTGTCCCCCTCCTCCCCACCTTCCCCCTCTCCCCCCCCCCCTCTCCCCCCCCCCCTCTCCCCCCTCCTCAACCCGCGCTTTGCAGGTGTATGTGCAGGACGGCATGGGCGCGGATCTGCGCCTGCGCATCCCGGGGGGCGCGTCCCCCATCCTGGACCCGCAGATCTCCCCCGACGGCTCCGCCATCGCCTTCGTGCGCGACGACGAGCTCTTCGTCGTCTCCACCACCGCCGGCGCGCCCCGCCAGCTCACCTTCGGCGCAAAGGAGGCCCACAAGGTGTGGCTGAGGGGCAAAGATTGAGTTCGGGGTTGGAGGTGGGATAGAGTGAGGACTCGACACAACGATGAGCTCTTGGTCGTCAACGATGAGGACTCCACCACCGCAGGCACACCCAGGCAGCTCAGCTGCGGCGCCAAAGAGGCTAATAAGGTGCGGTTCAGTGCGAACATTGAACATCTGGGTGTGGTGGGAGTGGTATTAGCGTGAGGGCTTGATCCACGGAAGCACGGACGAGCTCTTCGTCGTCTCGTCTCGTCTCCGCAACCGCCGGCGCGCCGCAGCAGCTCACGTTTGGCGCAAAGGAATCCAACAAGGTGCGGTTGAGCACTGGAAAGGAAATTGAGTTCGAGGGGAGAGTGCTTGGGTGGAGAGCCGGGGTGGTAGATAAGAAGAGTAGAATGAGGACCCGACACGCACCTCGCGATGCGCCTAACCCCTCGCCTCTCGTTTGCCTGCATGTGTTTGGATGTGCGCGTGTGTCTGTGCTCCCCCGCTCGTGTGCCCCCATGCGTGTGCCTGTGTGCCCCCATGCGTGTGCCTGTGTGCCCCCATGCGTGTGCCTGTGTGCCCCCATGCGTGTGCCTGTGTGCCCCCATGCGTGTGCCTGTGTGCCCCCATGCGTGTGCCTGTTTGCCCCCATGCGTGTGCCTGTGTGCCCCCATGCGTGTGCCTGTGTGCCCCCATGCGTGTGCCTGTTTGCCCCCATGCGTGTGCCTGTGTGCCCCCATGCGTGCGTGATGTTTCGACTACGCAGGTCCATGGCTTGGCAGAGTATATCGCACAGGTAAGCGCGTCCCTTTTCATCCCACATGACTTGAAATCCGATATACCACCACCCACGTGCACCCAACCCAAACCCTCACCAGTATACCTCTCTTCAAATTTACTCGCCACCCTTCGGTTGATGTACTGAATGCGTGCTTGCTGCTTCATTATATGCTGCAGCAAGCACGCATCCACGTTACTGCTGCTCGTGCTCGATGCCCCACGTTGGGCTCGTTCTATGCTTTATTGTGGCAACGAACCCAGCGGTCGTTCTACAAGCCTACCCACCATTCAGAGTCGACGTGGTGCTCATCAAATCCATCTCATTCCCTCACTCAACCCTTCAAACCCCTACCCCTCCCCCTCTCCTCTCCCTGTCCCCCTTTTCTTCCCGCCTTCCCCGCTCCCCCTTCTGCATTCTTCCCCCTTCCCCCGCGCCTTCTCCTTCTTTGTCCAACCCGCCCCCTCCCCTTTCCTGCCCGCCCACCCCCTTCTCCCTCTCCTTCTCCCTTCGCCCACCCACTTCTCCCCCTCCCACCTCTCCTCCTATTCGCCCTCTCTCCCCCCCCCTTGGCGAGTGCAGGAGGAGATAGAGATCAAGCCCTCACGCTAATACCACTCCCACCACACCCAGGAGGACACCTCATCAAGCCCCCCTGGAGAGCCGCAGTGGCTTCTGGTGGGCGCATGACAGCACGCGCATCGCCTTCACCCAGAGCGACCCCCCCTCACCCTGCCCACCTCCTGTCCAAACCCCGTCTCCAACCCCCCCCGCCCCCCTCCCCCCTCCCTCCCCCGCATCTGCTCGCATTCACCCTCATCCTGCTCTCCCTCTGGCCCCAACAGGAGGAGATGGAGAGGCGAAGTGGCTTCTGGTGGGCGCATGACAGCACGCGCATCGCCTTCACGCAGACACATGAAGACCCTGCCCACCTCCCTGTCCAAACCCCCATTCTTCCCCCATCCACTCCCATTCCCCCCCTGTAATGCCCCCTTCCCAGGAGGAGATGGAGAGGCGAAGTGGCTTCTGGTGGGCGCATGACAGCACGCGCATCGCCTTCACGCAGACAGACGCCTCTGCTGTACCGCTCTTCCGCATCCCCCACTGCACTCGCCCGCCCGTGGGGGCGGACTCGGAGGAGGAACATGCATATCCCTTCGCAGGTAGTTTACTTGATATGTGCCTGATTGAATAGGTGCCTTAAGCATAGGTTCCTCCGCTTCCCCCACTGCACTCGCCCACCCACGGGGGAGGACTCGGGCGAGGAGCATGCATACCCCTTCGCAGGCACTTCATTTCATACTTAAGTAGCGCTTTTTAGGGGGTATAGAGATAGGCTAGGCTTTTCCGCTTCCCCCACTGCACTAGCCCGCCTGTGGGGGCGGATTCCGAGGAGGAACACGCCTGCCCACTTGCAGGTACAAGTAAGGTGCCAGGTTCGGGTCTCAGGTATGGTTTGCCATTGCCAGACTTGGGAGGAGCTTGGAGGACGAGGTTAAGCAGCAAGAAACTGTCAGCTTGATTTGGCTCCCCAATTATTAGGTCCTTCCTCCTTCCCTGTTCTTGAGACCCCCCTGTTTCAGCCACGTCCTTTCACCTTTCTCCCTTTTTCTGTTGTGTTCGCCATTTCAACCGTCCTCGTCCCTTCGTTCTTCCCTTTCCAGGCCAGGCGAACGTGAGCGTAAGGCTCGGGGTCGTTCCCGTGGCTGGCGGCGAGGTTCGGTGGATGGATCTGCATTGCGGCTTGGCAGGCAGCAGCTTTGGTAAAACAAAAAGCAGCAGCAGAAGTGGCGGAATCAACAGCAGCAGTGGGGTTAGAAACGCTGGTGCGGGTAATGATGGCAACGGCGGCAATGATGGTGGTAATGGCGTTGGTGATGGTGATGGTGTACGGATAGGAGGAGGCACAGGGCAGGTGGTGGCACAAGACAGTGGGGTGTTTCAGCAGGGAGAAGCAGCAAGGACAGTGGGTAGCACACACGAGGGTGATGCAGGGAACCTACCTGGAAGGGACGCTGGGGAACCAGCACTGCCTGAGAAGGAAGCGAGTGCGATTGCGACTGCTGGCAGTAGTGGCAGTGGCAATGGCACTGCCGCAGCTGCTGCAGCTGCTACAGCTGCTGTAGACGATGATGACGACGATGAGGAATACCTAGCACGCGTGTCATGGCTCCCAGATGGGCGTCTGTCCGCGCAGGTACAGAACCGCAGGCAGACGCGCCTCAAACTCCTCCGCTTCGACCCCACCACAGGCAGCAGAGACCTCGTTCTCACTGAAACCAACCCCCTCTGGGTGAACCTGCACGACTGCTTCACCCCCCTGGTGAAATCCGGAGGGGAGCTGCGCGGGGGGTTTCTGTGGGCGAGTGAGCGCACGGGGTTCCGGCACTTGTACTTGTATGCGGGGTCGGGGCGGTGTGTGGGGGCGGTGACGGCGGGGGAGTGGATGGTGGAGCAGGTAGCTGGGCTGGATGAGGGCGCTGGGTTGGTGTATTTCACTGGGACCATGGATAGCGCGTTGGAGAGTCATTTGTATGTGACAAGTCTGTTTGGGGGCGTGGAGGGGGCAGGAGGGGGTGCTGGTTTGGGGCCTGCGTTGGGGGCAGACAAGCGTGATGCGTTTTCTCGTTATGAGCAGCAGCAGCAGCAGCAGCAGCAACAGATGGTGCCGATGGTGTTAGATTCGGTGCAACCTACCGCAACTTCATCACCATCATCAACAGGAGCAGCAGCAGGAGTAGCTTCACCAGGTCTACCTGGCTCCAACCCATCAGCACCACCACCAGCACCACCCGCAGCAGCAACAGCACTCCACGCACCCTCCTCCTCCCTCGCCCCCACCGCCCCCTCCTCTCTGCCGCCCGCCCGCCCCATCCGGCTGACCCAGGGCCCCGGGCGGCACCTGGTGGTCCTGGACCACAGCCTGCAGCGGTTCGTTGACCTGGTTGACTCGCTTGACTCGCCGCCCGCCGTGCGCCTCTGCTGCCTGGCGTCGGGGCGGGTGCTGGCGGTGATCTTCCAGCAGCACTCGCCCAACCCCCGCGTGCAGCGCCTGCAGCTGCGGCCGCCTGAGCTTGTGGAGGTGACTGCTGCTGATGGTACCACCCTGCACGGGGCCATTTACCGGTGAGTGCTGGCATAGGGAAACCCTCTCCTTCGGGGCGAGTGCTGGCGGTGATCTTCCAGCAGCACTCGGCCAACCCCCGCGTGCAGCGCCTGCAGCTGCGACCTCCCGACCTCGTGGAAGTGACTGCTGCTGACGGCACCACCCTGCACGGGGCCATCTACCGGTGAGTGTGGGCTCTGGGCTCTGGGCTCTGGGCTCCCCTCCCTCGGGGCGAGTGCTGGCTGTGATCTACCGGTGAGTACCGTCTTTGGACACTCTTTGGGGCGAGTACAGCCACTGGGGAACCCTCCCTCAGGGCGAATGCTGGCGGTGATCTTCCAGCAGCACTCGCCCAACCCCAGAATGCAGTGCCTGCAGCTCCGGCTGCCAGAGTTGGTACAGGTGACTGCTGCTGACGGCACCACCCTGCACGGGGCCATTTACCGGTGAGTGTGTATGGGGGGATTGCAGGATCATTCTCTGGGTGTTGACTTTTGAGGCGCCTCAAAGGTATCACGGGACCACAGGATCATCCTCTGGGTGCTGTTATGTGGGGGTGGCATGTGCAGCAGTCTCGTCCCGCCTGAGCTCATGCAGCTCACTGCTGCAGATGGCACCGCACTGCTCGGGGCCATCAGCAGCAGCAGAATCCACTGGTGAGTCTGTATGGGGGGGTTGCAGGAGCATACCTTGCCTGTGTGCAACACTTTATCCCCCCTGGCCCCCAGTTCTCCCCTCCCCCCTTGCGTGCTGTGGTGAGTATGTCACCTTATCCCCGCTCTCCCCACCCTCTCTTCCACACCCACCCTCTCTCCCCATCCTCTCTTCCACCACCCTCCCCTCTCCCCCACTTTCCAGCCTGATCCGGCCATCTTTGGTCCACCACCCCACCGCTTGGTGGTGAGTGTATACAGGAGACCACATGTGCAGGTGGCGTGTATGGCACCTTATCTCTTCCCTCCCACCCTTTCTCTCTCCCACCCTCTCTCTCTCTCTCTCTCTCTCTCTCTCTCTCTCTCTCTCTCTCTCTCTCTCTCTCTCTCTCTCTCTCTCTCTCTCTCTCTCTCTCTCCCCGTGCAGCCCTGACCTGGCCATATTTGGTCCGCCTCCCTATCGCACAGTGGTGAGTGTGTACGGGGGGCCGCACGTGCGGACGGTGTGCATGACACCTCATCTCCTCTCTCCCATCCTCTCTTCACCTCTCTCTCTCCCGTGCAGCCCTGACCCGGCCATCTTTGGCCCGCCTCCCTACCGCACGGTGGTGAGCGTCTACGGGGGCCCGCACGTGCAGACAGTGTGCGAGTCGTGGCTATCCACAGTGGACATGCGCGCCCAGTTCCTGCGTGCTCGAGGCATGCTGGTGTGGAAGGTGTGCACCAGAGACACATGCTCACACACACTCGCACACTGAGAGACACACAGACACACTCAGACAGGCCGACTGTCAGACACACAGGCAGACACATGCACATCGAGACAGAGACACGGACAGACCAGCACGCATGCAGGTGGTGTGCGAGTCGTGGCTGTCGACGGTGGACATGCGCGCTCAGTTCCTGCGTGCTTGAGGCATGCTGGTATGGAAGGTGAGCACAAAGCACAGAGTTCGTACGGGACAGAGAAGCACTCACACACGCACATTAACCGAGACTAACATAGCCAGGGTCGTCTCATGATGAGTCCTTGCATTCAACCTCCCAAGCGTTAATGGGTCCAACAACGTCCTTGTCCAACGTCCCATATCTGCATGCATCCCTCTTCCCCTTGCATCTCACCTTCAACTTCTCCCCAGCTTGACAACCGGGGCAGCAGTCGCCGTGGGCTGGCCTTTGAAGGAGCCATCAAGTGCAACATGGGCGGCATTGATGCTGACGACCAAGCGGCCGGCGTCCGTTGGCTTATCCAGCAGGGCCTCGCCGACCCAAACCGGATCGGGATTTACGGGTGGAGCTACGGGGGGTACCTCTCAGCCATGTGCTTGGCTCGGTACCCAAGCCTATTTCGCTGTGCCATTTCTGGAGCTCCGGTAACCAAATGGGACGGTTACGACACACATTACACAGAGCGTTACATGGGTCTGCCTGCAGAGCAGCCCACAGCATATGACCGGAGCTCTGTAATGCGGCATGTGGGTGGGATTCGAGGGAAGCTGCTGCTGGTGCATGGGATGATAGACGAAAATGTGCATTTCAGGCACTCGGTGCGGCTGGTGCAGGCACTTACTACTGCTGCTAAGCAGTATGAGCTGCTGCTTTTTCCCGAAGAACGGCACATGCCGAGGGGTCTCCGTGACCGGACGTATATGGAGGAGAGGATTTACGAGTTTTTGACTAGATGCTTGTCGTGATCCGTGGTGGCATGCCGAAAGCTGGCACACCTGTGGCAGCCTTGAAGATAATACTATCTATTTTCTAGATTGTTGCCTGATATCTTGTTTCATGTAGCTTGATACACGTTTCAGAGGTAGTTCTCCACGAGCACTGGGTTGTATCTCTGCAAGGCTTCCAAGATTTTTGTCCCCTTGGGCCACTGATGAAGGGCTTCCATAGTTATCACCCTGTTACGGGTGCAATGAATCGAAGTAGCGAGAGTTGCACTAAGGTGTCAAACGAGTACAAAAATGTGAGTGAAGGCATGAGCGAACATTTATATGCAAAACATGCAAACGGTAACGTGGTGCGTGCGAGCTAGCTAGTGCTACGCTGGAGCGAGGCTCGGGCTAGTCCCGAAGCGTAGGCCGACACGGCCAGGCCAGCAGTGCGAGGTTTGGTGAAACAGTGCGCGCGAAGTCGGCGAAACCCCGTTAGCAGTAACGGGCGAACAACGGCTGTTGCTGTACGCAATGTAGTCGGGCTCCGTAAGGAATGCCGAGAAAATTCCTTACACTCCCTCTCTCTATATGTAAGAAGCTTTAAAATATGTGTGATTACTGTTACGAGGAGGTTTACACTCCACGTTCCGGTCAGCCCAAATCCGTGTGATCTTGCCAATTGAAAAACAAGATCAATCCAGATCCAGCTCCACACGTCTCCTCAGCAGGCATCACATGCTCTGTTCAACTTGTGCCCGACCAGCATTGTGCCGTGCATCTCTCCCTGCACTGCTGGCGGATAAGGTGTAAATTTGGAGAACTGTACCTTGACCGTCTCTCAACTCCATGTCCACCCATCGCTCAACCAATCGATGAACAAATTGAAAGCATGCGTGATTCGTGATGCTTGTAATATCGGCGAGCGATGTCGACGTGGCTCAGATTTCTGGTCAGAATTAATATATTTCCAAAGCAGCTGGAAGGCTTTTCGTGCACTGCATTCGAAAATTCTGAAATTGCAGGCTACATGCATCCACAACCTTCTAGAACCTTCGCCCACATTCTAGAGACAAGGGCAGCAAAACTGCTTGCCAGGTGGGCATCGATAAAAAAGGTCTTCGGATATTCCTCAGGACACCTCATGCTGTGCCTTTTTCTCCTAACCCTCGCACTGCTGGCGTTTACTTTTTCTTCTCATTGGCAGGTGTGAATTGGAGCGGGCTGCAGCAGAATGGAGGGGCAGATAAAGGAGTTACGGATTCGCCATTGCCAGGATGTCGTTTCGCGCCCAAAACAATGGACAGGGCACACATGGTCCATCCCGGAACTACTGTTCACTGTCGCATCAGCTGAACCTATCACTCTTTGGAATAAATCACGAGAGTTTCCCCAGTTCGACTGCCGATGTATTGTGCACTTATAGTACCTTTCTTAAAACAGAGTACGAGAGTTTCCAAGAATGGAACTTTGAGAATTTTCTCCCATAATTAAATACAATATCTCTCATGGAGGGGTACAGCCGACACGAGTGCTCGAAAGAAACCGTGGAGAAAAACGTCGGCAGCCATTAAGTGGTGAGTACATAAAGACGTAGCAGACCGAGTCAGCAGGGTAAACTTTGATTTTGGAACGTTGCCCGTTTGGAATTCCTTTCGCTTTGCCCTCATCTCTTGTCACCCCAAGAGACGTCCTTCCTGGCTCGGTGTCGTGTTGTGGGAGGAGGTTGAGGTATGGAGGAAGCTCTTGGTGGTCCGTGCTTCAAGAGCAACCAACCATCCGCTGAACCCCGATCTTTTCGTCATCCCCTCACGTGCTCCCCGTACCTGGAGGGTTGCTACGGTAATCCTCCTCAGCAGCAGCTTGGTGGCTGACGTGTTAAAATATCAACCAACGCTCCAGTGCGCGAGGTGCCTCTCGTTCCTCCCGTGCGCGAACTACAGTGTTCATTAATGACAGTTCTTGCCCCCTTCCTGTCATTGCTGCCTGTGGGCACCTAGTGGCAGCAAGCGGAGCATGGCCCCAGTGTACACCACCGCGGAGAGCTGCCCAGCGCCCTAGCGGAAAAACAAATATCTTGCGAAAGCCGGCTCCACATTACACTTTCGTTCAGAAAAGGGGGCGCGAGTTTTCCTTTCCCACTGCGCACAGAAATTTCCCAGCCCTTGTTCGAGTTCCATCCGGACCGCTATGATTGCATTTTATCCTTCTTCGTAAACCTGTACGCGCACAGAAGGATAACAGAGGCTGGCTGTTAACGCTACAGAGCAAGCACAGCCTTCCCGCGCGTTACGAACGTTGTCTTGAAAGTCTGCTAGAACTGGCGGGTCTTCCGACCAGAAAAGGAGTGACGTGTCCTCCTCATTCCGAGGCGAGAAGCCAACTAAGCCCTAACGCTTCTCGCAGCGCAAGCGTTGAACTGTAACTCCCATAGTCAGAGGCTAGAAGCCTCGTTTTATCGGGTGAGATTTGGGAAACACATGGTGCTTGCCGCAGATTCACGACCGCAACTCTTTTTCAAGTCACAGAGGAGCCCGGGGACACTACCGACTTCAAGGATTATCGAACGACGAGACTGAAAAATCACGCAACCTCTGACTCAGCGTCGAAGGACGCCTCCTTGCCAGGGCCTTGATTATCCTGACGAGAAATCCACTCACACGCGTCATTCGCTGTCAAAATTCGTTGCGACTCACTGGTCGACTCGATTCGAATTCGCCCTCCATTGTCATGTGTCAACCCGTCGCTCCATTCACGGTGGAGATTCTCCTCCGCCTCGGTCCCGCCGATACCGCCATTGGCTTCGAAGAGCGCGCCACACGCGCTTCCGCCACTGTAATGGCGACTGCGGGTCCCGCAGATCGCGGCGCGTCTTCTGGTCCAGCTGGATCGAGTCAGCAGGCGCTGAGTCACCGCGACGCATCTGTCGGTTGGCCCGCTGCGACGCCGCCGAGCCGGCGTGCCACGTCACGCTCAGAAGCCGCACATACCTCTCCCGTAACGTCGAAACGTGTGGCGCCGTGTTTAAACACTCCTCAGAACTCTCTCGGGAAAGTACAATGCGGCGCGGTCCCGCCACGTAGTCCGCTGGCCGTGACTCCAACGGTCACCCCGGCGAACCATCGCATGCGGCCAATCACACTCCAAGAGCTCAAGGAAAGCTTTCACCTGCCCATCAGCGAAGCCGCCCGAAAGGTACTTGACCTTTTGCTTTTCTTTCCCCGCGCTTCGGCTAGATCGATAAATGCAAAGCGTTGCATCAATTTGGCAGCCGCTTGCGCGCTGGCCCTTGCTGCTCTTTGCCGCTCCCTTCCGCTCATCCTCGTCGTCCCCCTCTTCCCCGCCCCATTCGCGTGTGCAGCTCGGCGTGTGTGTGACGGTTCTGAAGCAGCAGTGCCGCGAGCATGGCGTCGCCCGATGGCCGTTCCGCAAGGTACGCCGTGACGAGCAGCTGTGCGTTTTTTCGTTTGTTTTTTTTTTTGCGAAATTTCTCTGGCATTTAAACGAAATGTACCCAGTCTGCGAATCCGGACTTGCTGCTTGCGTCACTCTCGCCCTCGCCTATTCAGATCTACGCAATGGCCCTTCCTTGACTCCAACCCTTTTTCTCCTCTCCTCTCTCCTCCCATTATCCCCCATCAGATCCGCAAGCTCGATCACATGCTGTGCGCGCTCGAGGGGGCCGTCAACCGCCCGGGGGCGGCGAGCAGCAGCCAGCCCGCGCTCACGGCGCAGCAGGCGCACACGAACCACCAGCGGAAGCGCAAGATTGGCGCGGTGAAGGAGACGCTGTCGGGGCTCTTGACGGATCCCAACTCCGCGGCGCACATGCGCCTCGGCAAGATTAAGTACAAGCGCTTCCGGCCGTTCCTCGCGGAAGATGATCGGAACATTCGCCCGCGGCCCCTGCACGCGTCGGCTCGACACGCTCACGCTCCCGCTGACGTTCCCGCCGACGCTGACATTGACGTTGACGTTGACGCTAACGTCAGTGGCTCCAACGCCGAGGCGCGCAATGCCGCTGGCGCTGGCACTTTCCACATGCCGGACTTTGACATGAACGAGCCGCCTTGCAGCGAGGTCGAATTCGACAGTTCCGCCGATTTAACCCGTTGCGCGGATGCCGTTGCTTGCGCGCGCGACATTGCGTGCGCGGACGGCATTGCTTGCGCGGGCAACGAAGCACGCGCGGACGACGTTGCTCGCGCGGACGGTATTGCGGCCGACTCGTCCTGTTTCACGACGCCTCTCCCCACGCCGCTGCCCACGCCGCTTTCCACGCCCACGTCCTCTCGTCGCCCGCCGCCCGCGCTTCCCCCTTTTTCCCTCGAGCCGTGCAGCGCGCTGGCATGCGCGCGCGCACTTCCCCGCTCCTTACTCTCCCCTATTGCCTCCGCTGGAAACGCGAATCCATTCACCTCGCCGCTGCACCTGCCATCACTCCCATCCCTTCCACTCGCGTCGCCGCTCTGCCTGGACGACGATGTACCAGCTGCGGTCACCGTGGCAGCGTGCCAACCGTTTTCTTCATCTCAACCCGCCGTCGCTACAACCCAACACCTAATACTATCTACGCCAAAGCTTTTTACTTCGTCGCAACCTCCGTCAGCATCCCTGCAGCTATCAGCAAGCCAACTGCCTGCCCCGAGCTCTACGCACAGCAGCGTCGTCACCAGCAGCAGCGGCAGCAGCAGCGCCACCACCACCAACGCGGTTTGCGCAACCCGCAGCAACGGCAGCAGCAGCAGCAGCACCGGCGGTTGCAGGCGCGTCGGCTCGACCACTCTCGCGTTCTCGTTTTGCGGCGATCCGATTCTGCCTGCCCTTACGAACGACACTGTTCTTCCTCGGAATGAACAAGCTACACTGATATTCTGTGGGTATAGAATCCCTAACACAGAACATCAAATGTTTTTGCAGAGGCATTGTCTATACAATGCATTCTAGGGGGCGAAACTCTTCTGTAATGATAAATTTGTATCCATAGCATAATGTACCGTAAGCAGATTGTGCCTGCTATGAATAATGGGCCCTACGTTTTATTCAGGAAAAAATTGCTATCATCCCTCCCATGCCATCCATCTTTGCAGCATGCGCGCATGACAACAGTGATTTGTTGTTCGGTAAGAGAGACCTCTTTCAGCACACCGTACCATGCGTTGCTACCAATACAAGATGGCGTGGCACAGCATGTCACCACATCTCATCACTCACAACAAGTACCGTGCCATTACCATCAACATGTAATCCGACAAACCTCTCAGACTCGCCTCAGTGCGAGTTCGTTCGGATTCGATTCAGTGCACCAAGACACAAATCTGATTAGAGGTTGTGAATGGCAGTCACGCCACGCCACCCTTCCAAGATGCTCATGAGACCCCTACAGCGACGCACCACAAACGACTACACTACAGCCATGCATATCAGGACTCATGATTCACACACCCAGTGTGAGCTACATATTCATCGCAGCGAGCTGTATGATGCATACATCCATGCTTCCACTACAGAAGCCTAACCAGCGAGCCATGCATGCATATAACGATGCACAAACCTGCCCAGCGGTGCAAGCTTGATGTTCATCGTTGCCCAAGGCAGCTGAGCTCAGATGCGCCTCATGTTTACTTCCAGCCATCGACTCCCCCACAGCGACCTAAGAAATCATCGTGACGTGAAACACCGCAGTCCACACACCCAGTGTAAGCGTGATGTTCATTGCTGCCAGCTCAGCAGCCAGATACTTGAACACATACGGCATGGCCACTCGCACCACGCCCTTTCGAAGTAGACTCAGAAGTCACAGGCCTCACACACCCAGTGTGAGCTTGATGTTCATTGCTGCCAGCTCAGCAGCCAGATACTTGAACACATACGGCATCGCCACTCGCACCACGCCCTTCCCCGTACCACACACACGACACACCATCTTCTTCTGTCGCAGCTCCCCCCCCACCGTCCCATACCCCACGCCAGCCCCCAGCCCCAGGCCTAGCGCCACAGCTGTGTCCGAACCTGCCGACCCGCCTCGGGGACGAGACAGCGCCGGAGCTAGCAGGGAGCCGCAGAGAGAGCAGACGTCAGTGGTGTGGTAGTCTGAGCACGAGTGTAGCCGGTCGTGTAAGAGAAACGCCGCGCCGTGGGACAGCATTGCATCGCGCTCCATCTCTCCGAACCGCACTCCACCGCCCTTCTTCCTCCCCTTCACCGGTTGCTGCGTGAGCGGGTTCACAGGCCCGGTAGACCGCACCTGGAATTTATCTGATACCATGTGCCGCAGCCGCTGATAATACACCACTCCTAGGTAAATTTCACACTCCATTTCGCACCCGTACACTCCGCTATACATGGTCTCTGTGCCATAGTAGCTGAATCCCTTTTCCACCAGTTGCCGCCCGAATGTGTCCACCAGATCCTCGCGATTCTGTGGCTGATTTGATTCTCCCGCCCTACCTGCTGCCGCCGGACCTGCAGCAGGTTTGGCAGCCAGGCCAGGCTTGGCAGATGAAGCAGGGGTTGGGAGATCCAAGGGTGTGAAACTTCCAGGCCCTTTCTCAGCACCACCAGCAGCAGCAGGAGTGACAGGAGTAGCAGGGGTGGGGGGGGCACCAGATTTCTTGTGCAGTTTTGGGCGGGGTACAGGAGTGGAGAGACCAGGGGTACCAGCAGAGGAACGGGCCAATCGGGAGGCGCCACGTCGCGGGGCGGGCTGGCGAGACTTGAGGCTCATGGTGAGCGGCGGGGGGTTGGGCGTGGCAGGGCGGAACGGGGAAGCATCCACGAAGTTTCCGTGCAAGGCTCCACCCTGCCATGGAGGGGAGGAGGTTGGGATGATGCGGAAGGAAAGCAGAACAAACAAGTTTGAAAGGGTATACAAAGAGAGACAAGGGAACAGGGAGGGGGGGGGGGGGTGAGGGAAATGGAAACATTAGAGGGTTGGGGCGAAATGGACTCAACCTAGCCACCACAGACCCAACGAGCAGGGCAACGCCAAGCCAAGCACATCTCATCTCAACTCACCTTGGCTGCAACTGATTCGACGAGCATGCCTATGGTCATGCGCGAGGGGAAGGCGTGGGGGTTGATGATGATGTCTGGACGCATGCCGGAGGAGGAGGCGAAGGGAGGAAGGGTATCGACTCAGGACACAAGTCACTCTGCACAGCAAACGCCTTTCTCTCACCTTAGCAGCAACTGACTCGACGAGCATGCCAATGGTCATGCGCGAGGGGAAGGCATGGGGGTTGATTATGATGTCTGGACGGATGCCGGAGGAGGAGGCGAAGGGCATGTCCACATCGGGCCAGAGCTGTGATAGCACTCCCTTCTGCCCGTGCCTGCTGCTGAACTTGTCCCCTATTTGTGGCAGGCGACCAAAGCGCATGCGCACGGATGCCTGCGGGGAAAGGAAGGAAAAAGGGGAATAGGGGGGTACAGATGGGTGCAGAAGGGTGCAGATGGGTACAACGGAGGTGGTGGGGAGGGGGATCCAGGGAGGGTGGCAGGTCGGCATTCTAACAGGGGAGGAGGAGGAGGCGAAGGGCATGTCCACATCGGGCCAGAGCTGTGATAGCACTCCCTTCTGCCCGTGCCTGCTGCTGAACTTGTCCCCTATCTGCGGCAAGCGCCCAAAGCACATGCGCGCGGAGGCCTGGAACAAGGTACGGGGTGGTACAGGAGTGGCCAAGGGAGAATGGTGGGTGAATCTCACTTCCCTGAGTACACACCCTTGTGCCCGTGGCGGCTGCTGAACTTGTCCCCTATTTGCAGCATGCGACCAGAGAGGAGCCGAACGGAAGCATGCAACGGCGGGAAGCAGGGGATGGCAATGCAGGGATACGGGGGAACAGGGACACAGAGATACAGAAGGGTTGTACTTTGGCACCTGCCTAAGCCACTGCCATGCCTGTTCTTTTCCTGCATCTACTGATCGCACCTTAGTGAGGGCTGTCTTGGGGCCGGTGCCGGTGAGTGTGGGTGAACCCATCCACCACCGCATCCTCCCACCCCTTCAGTTTCATCTCATCCGCTCATGATCAGAGTGAACCCTCCCCCCACGATCCCCCTGTGCCTACTCAGCTGAATGCCCTCTCATCTGACCCTCCCACGCACCTTGGTGGGCGCTGTCTTGGGGCCGGTGCCGATAAGCGTGCCGATAAAAGAAGGAGTGTTTTGAGACGTCTCAAAACACTCCTTCTTTCACGTGGTTTCAATAACCGTGCCGATGAGCGTGACCCCATCCACCACCGCATCCTCCCACCCCTTCAACCCCTCCAGCCATCCTCCCCACCGTTGACGACCCCAATACCCCCCCACCTTTCCTGCACCTTCTATCAAACCTCACCACAGAGGTTCAGGGCCGCACCTTAGTGAGCGCTGTCTTAGCGCCGGTGCCGATGAGCGTGACCCCGTCCACCACCGCATCCTCTGACCCCTTGAGCTTGATCTCGTCCGCCTTGCCCGTCACCGTGTTCACCTTGCATGCATACACGTCGCCGCTCGTGATGTGCTGTTAAGGGGGTAGCGGAATGAAAGGGAGGGGGGGGGGGATGTGATTTAGATAGCACCAATTCTGTCGCCTCCGCCTTGGCCCCTTGCCAGCCGCCCCCCCATCATCCCCCTACCTCCCTCCCTCCGCGCCCCCTCCCCTCATAACAAACGCACCTCCCCGGGGCGGGGCAGCCCATCGGTGTCGATGGTCCACTTGTGCCCGCGCCTGTTCCCAGCCGCCCGCCCCAGCATCTGCACTGCCAGGCCAGCCCTTTGCCTCTCTCTCTCCCTCCCTCCCATTCGCCCACTTAATCCCTTGGTTCATTCACTCACGCACCTCCCCAGGGCGGGGCAGCCCATCAGTGTCAATGGTCCACTTGTGCCTGCGCTGGTTGCTAACAGGCCGCCCCAGAATCGGCACAGGCAAACCCTCCCCCTCTGCGCTCACCTCCCCAGGGCGGGGCAGCCCATCGGTGTCGATGGTCCACTTGTGTCCGCGCCGGTGACTGGCCGCCCGCCCCAGCATCTGCACGGGCAGCCCGGACGGCGTGAACTTGGCCACACGTGCCGCTGAGCCCTGGGTGGCCTCGATCACCTCGTTCTGTTACGGAGTGGGATCCGGGCGGCGGGCGGGCGGCAAGACAGAGATGTGGCAAAACAAAAGGAGGCTCATGAGGGTACAGGGCGTGGGTGGGTATCGAATTGGCTCAGGTGCATTGTAGAACTAACAGTACCATGTGGATGTAACCGTACCTTGTAGATGTAACCGTACATTGTAGATGTAACCGTACCTGGTAGATGTAACCGTACCTGGTAGATGTAACCGTACCTTATAGATGTAACCGTACATTGTAGATGTAACCGTACCTTGTATATGTAACCGTACCTTGTAGATGTAACCGTACATTGTAGATGTAGCCGTACCTTGTAGATGTAACCGTACATTGTAGATGTAACCGTACCTTGTAGATGTACCCGTACCTTGTAGATGTAACCGTACCTTGTAGATGTAACCGTGGCCAAAGCCCCTCTCCATGGACGACTTGTTGATGATCATCGCATCCTCCATGTCGTACCTGGTGCACGGGCAGGTGAACGGGCAGGTGCACGGGCAGGTGAACGGGCAGGTGCACGGGCAGGTGTACGGGCAGGTGTACGGGCAGGTGTACGGGCAGGTGAACGGGCAGATGAATGGCGAGTAACGGGCACACATGGCGTTGGAAGAAAACAAGCGAGTGGGACGTGTGAGATAGAGCAGACGCACAGCCATGGGAGTCGTACAACTATGAGGTGTACCCCTTACAGCAAACCCCACATACCTGGTATAAGCCAGCACGGGCACGGCCACCACAGCATTGGCTCCCGCTATACCTGTGCAAAGGGGCGAGCCGAGTAATGCTCGACTCCTCCCTAGCCTTGCTCGGCCGAGTACGAGCCCGAGTCGAGTAATACTCGGCCGAGCATTTTTCCCCCAAACAGATACTCGGTACTCGCCTTTTTAAAGGAAACTCGGGCGAGCATTTAGAAAAGCTCATCCGAGTACGAGTAATGCTCGGCCATGTGCCCTACTCCTGCATATAATGACTCTGTACGTTACATCTAGTGAAGGCCATTGGTACCACGGGAGTATTGGGGTTTCCAGGGCCGCCCAGGCAAACCCAAGGTGGTCCCAGGAAGCCTAGGGAAGCCCAGGAAAGCCCTGGGTTGCCCTGGGTAGCCCAGGGTAGACCTGGATAGGCGAGTACTCGTCGAGCAAAAAAAACTCGGCGAGTAAAACTCGGCTCGACTCGCCCGAGTAAAATTTACAAAAACCGAAACTCGTTACTCGCACCCAAACGAGTAACGCGGGCGATACCGAGCGAGTAACTCGTCTCGTTGCACAGGTATAGCTCCCACCGGGTGTTGATCCTTGGCATAGTCATCATACGCTGCCGTGCTGCTGCCCACTCACTCACCCATCCCCCTTGTAGCACACCCACATACTCAGTATAAGCCAGCACCGCAACGACAGCGTTGGCCCCAGTGGGGTAGTGGTCCATGGCATAGTCGTCATACGCTGCCGTGCTGCCCCCCCCTCTCCCATCCATGATCCATTCCCCCAATAGCACACCCCACATACCAGGTATAAGCACATACCCGGTATAAGCACATACCCGGTATAAGCCAGCACGGCCACGACCGCGTTGGCCCCAGTGGGGTAGTGGTCCATGGCATAGTCGTCATACGCTGCCGTGCGTGCGATGGGCGTCTGGGGCGTCTGTAGGCGGTACAGCTTGTTGTCGTTGCGGAAGGGGAACGAGTGCAGCGGCATGCCCATCGTTTGCTTCCCCATCTGTTGTATACAGACATATGAGACACATGCATGGTGGGCCAACACACACACACATCCATGTTGAGACGATGGGCAGTAAGAGCACATCAGCAGCACATGCTGACCTGGCACTGGTACATGCTGTGCTGACCCGACACTTGTACAAGCTGTGCTGACCTGTCAAGGGTACATGCTGTGCTGAACTGGCACTGGTACATATTGTGCTGACCTGGCACTGGTACATGTTGTGCTGACCTGGCACTGGTACATATTGTGCTGACCTGGCACTGGTACATATTGTGCTGACCTGGCACTGGTACATGTTGTGCTGACCTGGCACTGGTACATGTTGTGCTGACCTGGCACTGGTAAATATTGTGCTGACCTGGCACTGGTACATATTGTGCTGACCAGGCACTGGTACATCCTGTGCTGACCTGGCACTGGTACATGTGCTGACCTGGCACTGGTACATATTGTGCTGACCTGGCACTGGTACATATTGTGCTGACCTGGCACTGGTACATGTTGTGCTGACCTGGCACTGGTACATGTTGTGCTGACCTGGCACTGGTAAATATTGTGCTGACCTGGCACTGGTACATATTGTGCTGACCTGGCACTGGTACATCCTGTGCTGACCTGGCACTGGTACATCCTGTGCTGACCTGGCACTGGTACATGTTGCGGGGGCTCTGGTTGTAATCGGACCAAGGGGTCAGGCTCGCCATCACACTCAGGATATCCGTCGGCCGAACCTCCTCGTGCGTCGCCGAACCTGTCGCCGAGGCTTGGCCGGACGGGGCGGAAGGGGCCGACGAACCATCGGGGCAGAGCACGTCAAGAAAGACCTGCCGGGGGAGAAAGGCCGGGAAGGGGTGGGGAAGGAAGAGGACGGGGAGAGGGATTTTTGCGTCGACTTGAAATTCACGATGAGCATCCGGGCAGAGCACGTCGAGAAAGACCTGATAGGAAGGGAGGAAGAGGGGGATGAAGGAGAAGAGACGGAAAGGAGTAGGGGGGAAGGGGGAGACGGGGTACAAGAGAGAAAGGGGAAAAGTGGGAGAAGAAAGAAAGAGACATGGGAGAGTTGTAGTCCTGTGAGTGGATAGGGAGAGTACGCATGGTGGGCGTGGGCGAGTGAGAAGCAGAACCCAGCAGATGTAGCTCAGTGCTCTGCTCTGCTTCTCACATGCCCACGCCCACCACGTGTACTCTACCTACCTCGCTCCCATGCCGTTCTCGTTGCTACTACTGCTACTCCAGTGCCCACCTGCTCCAGTACCCACCTGCCCCAGTGCCCACCTGCTCCAGTGCCCACCTGCTCCAGTGCCCACCTGCCCCAGTGCCCACCTGCCCCAGTGCCCACCTGCCCCAGTGCTCACCTGCTCGAGGCTGCCAATGAGCTCGAAGGTGGGTGCAGCGGCGGCCCTGGGGTTGAGGGAGGGCAGCTGCCGCACAGGCCGAACGAAGCGAGCCGGCGCAGAGAAGAGGAAAATGCCCGGGAAGGTTCCTTGCTGGGAGAAGGGGATGAAGGCGACCTCTAGGTCCCGAGGGATCTGCGAGCAGAGGGGGGAGGTTTGGGTGCGGGGGGGTGGAAGAAGGGAAACATGGGTTGGAGTGGAAAAAGGGGAAAGGTGGAGGTAATGGTATTGGTATTGGTGATAGTTATGGTAGTGGTAATGGTAATAATAATGGTAATGCTAATGGTAATGGTGATGGTAATGGTAATGGGAACGGTGATGGTAATGATAACGGTGATGGTAATGTTAATGGTAATGGTAACGGTGATGGTAATGGTAACGGTGACGGTGATGGTAATTGCAATGGTAACCGTGATGGTGATGGTAATGGTAATGGTGACGGTGATGGTAATTGTAATGGTAACGGTGATGGTAATGGTAATGGTAATGATGACGGTGATGGTAATTGTAATGGTAACGGTGATGGCAATGGTAATGGTGACGGTGATGGTAATTGTAATGGTAACGGTGATGGTAATGGTAATGGTAATGGTGACGGTGATGGTAATTGTAATGGTAACGGTGATGGTAATGGTAATGGTGACGGTGATGGTAATTGTAATGGTAACGGTGATGGTAATTGTAATGGTGACGGTGATGGTAATTGTAATGGTGACGGTGATGGTAATTGTAATGGTAACAGTGATGGTAATTGTAATGGTGACGGTGATGGTAATTGTAATGGTGACGGTGATGGTAATTGTAATGGTAACAGTGATGGTAATTGTAATGGTAACGGTGATGGTTATGGTAATGGTGACGGTGATGGTAATTGTGATGGTAACGGTGATGGTAATGATAATGGTGTCCAAACCACACCCCAACCATAGAAACACACATTTAGAGCCACTCGGATGCTTCACCCCAGCCGGTGCCATCTCGGAATGAATGTGCCCCATCACACACCCATCCACCATCACCATCAGAGACACTGCCACTAGCCCCACTGAACTGCATACCACACTCACAAGTAGGGGAACAAACAGTTAGTGCCACTCACCCCAGCCTCCCCAGTGGCCTTAAGGCACCTCAGATGCTTCACCGCGGCCGGTGCCATTTCTGAGTGAATGTGCCCCAGTAGACACCCATCGAGCATCACCGTCAGAAACACCGGAGGCGGGGCAGGGGGCGGCACCCCCGCCCCCACCGCCGCCAGCCCAAACGGCGCCAGACACCGCAGCACCGCTCGGCCAATCGCGTCGCGGGACTTCACCGAGCCTACCCCCGAACCTAGCCCCGAGGCTAGGGAGGCTGCTCCGGGAGTTCCGGCAGGTGTGGAGGGGGTGTGGGGGACGAGAGCAGAGCCAGGGGTGGAGGGGAGGAGGGCTAAGGAGGAGGAGGGGGGCGGAGGGGGAGGGGGAGGCGAGGGGAGGGGGAGTGAGGTCGGTGGTGACAGTGCATGGGGCTGACAGGTGAGTGAGGAGACCGCAGGGGGCCCCATCGGGTGTGTGCACGGGACACACGAACCCCCACGACCTGCCGTGAGATGAGACGGGGTGGGTGGAAAAGAGGGAAGGGGGGTTGAGGTTGGCGGCGACAGTGCATGGGGCTGAGAGGTGGGTGAGCAGGCCACAGGGGGCGCCGTCTGGTGTGTGCACGGGACACACGAACCCCCACGACCTGCAATTATGGGGTGAGACGCAAGGAGGGGACACTGGAAGATGAGAAATTGAGGAGAGAGGATTGCAGAAAATTGCAGAAAATTGCAGCGCTACTCCTTGAGTGGTTGAGAAGACCGTAGAGGGTCCCCACCCCTCCCACCTCCGCCCCCCACCCCACTAGGCGCACTCACTCTTACAACAGCTTGCGCACAGTGGTGGCGCGGAGAGTGGAGAAAAAAACTCCTTAATGCACTGACCAAAAGTGAGGCAGGTACCGATGCCAGTTCAGCTTATCCCCTCAGGCACTCTCACCACACAGCCCTATCCCCCTCTCTCTCCCCCCCCCCCTCACCGCACTCACTCTGGCAACAGCTTGCGCACGGTGGTGGTGCGAAGAGTGGAGATGCACGGACCTAAAGTGAGAGAGGAACCGATGCCAGTTCAGCTTATCCGCCACCACCGTGAACCCCGACCTCTGAGACATGTCCAGCCCTCACGAGCTCTATTACACCCCCCTCCCTCTCACTCCCACTCGCACTCCCACCCCCACACTAAAGCACACTCACTCTGGCAGCAGCTTGCGCACAGTGGTGGTCCGAAGAGTGGAGAAGAACGCCCCTCGATGCATGGATCTAAAGTGAGACAGGTAGCGGTGCCAGTTGAGCTTATCCGCCACCACAGTGAGCCCCGACCTCTGTTGCATGTACAGCCCTGACGGGCTCGCGAGATTCCCCGTGTTCAGCATGTACTCGATGTCCTTCCCAATAAACGTCATCGCCAGCCCAGCCCTGACGGGCTTAGCCTTCAGGCACCCTCACCACACCACACAGCCGCCCTATCCCCCTCTCCCCCCGTTCACCCTACTCACTCGGGCAGCAGCTTGCGCACAGTAGTCGTCCGAAGAGTGGAGAAGAACGCTCCTCGATGCACGGAGCGGAAATGCGAGAGGTAGCGGTGCCAGTTGAGCTTATCCGCCACCACAGTGAACCCCGACCTCTGTTGCATGTCCAGCCCAGACGGGCTCGCCAGATTCCCCGTGTTCAGCATGTACTCGATGTCCTTCCCTATAAACGTCATCGAAAGCCCACCCGCCGGCGCCGCCCCTGCCGCCCCGGGCCGGCCGCCCTCGACGAGGCGGCGCAGCCAGTTGGAGGCGCGGAGGTCCGTGGTGGTGGGGTTGTCGACGAGCTCCTGGGCGGCGTGCGCTTGGATCTTGTGCAGGTGTACCTGCAGCTTCTCCTGAGGTGGAGAAGAGTGAAAGGGAAAGGGAAACAAGGGGAGGGGAGGGGAGCGGAGGGGAGGAAAGGGGTGGGTGGCATGCCGCATGCGCGTGTATCTTGTGCCAGTGTAGCTGCAGCTTCTCCTGAGAGGGTGGAGTGCGGGATACGGGGCAGGGAAAGGAAGGGGGGAGAAGTGAGGAGGGGGGGCGGCATGCGCTTGGATCTTGTGCAGCTGTAGATTCTCCTGATATGGTGGAATGTGGGGTATGGAGAAGGGAAGGTAAGGGGAGGGAACGGAAGGGGCCAGGAGGGAAGGGAAGGGGATGGGAGGGAAGGGAAGGGAAGGGGGGGGGGGGGGTTGACAAGGGGAACGGGGAGGAGAAGTGAAACGAAAGCTGCATAAGTATAGCTGGAGCTTCTCCTGTGATGGGGGAATGTGGAATACGGAGAAGGGAAGGGGGCACAAGGGGAGGGGAGGGGAGGGGAGGGAAGGGGAGGGGAGGGGTGCGTTCCATAGGCAGGCATAGGGAGTGCAGCAGTTACAACTTCCTAGAGAGGGAGCGGACCTTGATGAAGATGTTGAGGATGTGGCCAGGCAGGTAGAGCTCGTGATGCATGAGATGTCTCAGGAAGACAGCAGGAAAAGAAGATTGAGAGAGCATGGAGAGCGCAGGGAGAGAGCAAGAGAGAGAGGGAGCGGACCTTGATGAAGATGTTGAGGATGTGGCCTGGCAGGTAGAGCTCGTGATGCATGAGCGTGTCCATTGAGTCCTCCTGTGATAGCCCGTCCACCATCGACCATAGCTTGTGCAGCATAAAGCTGTTAATGGGGGGGAGAGGGGCACAAGCACAAGAGGGGAGGTGACGTGCATTAGAGCTCGTGATGCATGAGCGTGTGTCTTCTCTGTCCTCCTGGGATAGCCCATCCACCATCGATCGACCACAGCTTGTGCAGCATGAAACTGAGAGGGAGGGGTGGAGGCACGAAGACATCAGAAAGAGGCAGGCACAGGCACAAGGCAAAGAGAGCCGAGCGCAAAAGGGGGGAGATGAGCCCTATAACGAGCCAAGGAGGCGCAGATTGCTCATGGGCTTGCCGAGACGCACTAGGCCCGTTGGGGCATGTGTGGAGGAGGCACGTGGAGGGTACTGTACAGGGAGGCACATGGATGGAAGTGGAGGACATGTGGAGGGAAGGAAGAGCAACTCACACGAGCAGGCGCAGCTTGTCCATGGGTTTGTCGAGATGCACTAGCACCAGGTCCGCTATGATCTGCTGGCCCACCTGTGGGATGGACGAGAGAGGGAGGCGAGGGAGGGAAAAGAAGGTGACAGCATGCATGAGAGGAGGCAGAACTAAGTTTGAGGCGCCTCAAAAGTAGACAGCGTGCAGGAGAGGAGGCAGAACTAAGTTTGAGGCGCCTCAAAAGTAGACAGCGTGCAGGAGAGGAGGCAGCAAAAGGAGGAAGAGAGGCGCAGGAGTGCAAGCAAGGTCCGCGATGGTCTGCAGCCCCACCTGTGGAAGGGGGGGTTGCAGAGGTGGGGAGCAGAGAGGAACAGAGGGAGTCGGAAAGGGGGGAGGAAGAGGATGCGTGGGAAGGAGAAGGCATGGACGAGCACAAGCCCATTATGATTGACTGCCACGCCACTCACATATGCGTCTGGCTTGTAGCTGGGAACGTTGACAGCAGGTCGGAAGGTCTTTCCAAGGAAAGCCAGACACTCAATGCGAGTGAAGAGGCCCAGAGAGCGCGGGTGACTCAACACCACCAGCGCCCTCTCCCTCACAAACTGCGTTCCCAACCCCGCCGCCGCTGCTGCTGCCGGTGGTTTTGTGGCTGCCTCTGCTGCTCCTCCTTCGGTTGGTGCGAGCTGCGTGTCGGTCTCCGGAGGGTCGGCTGCAGCCTGCTGTGCTGTTAGGATGGCCGTCAGATGCTCGTACAGCTCTGCATCTGAGACGTCCACTAGGCACTGGGAGGGAGGGGACGAATACGGAAGGGAGGGAGGGGGGATTACGGAAGGGTGGGAGGCGGGGAGGTAGATGGACAAGAAGCCAGGAAAGCCGAAGGATGAGGATAGAAGCTCTGCATCTGAGACGTTCACTAGGCACTGGGAGGGAGGGGGATTACGGACGGAAGGGTGGGAGGGGGGGAGGAGGTAGATGGAACAAGAAGCCAGGTAAGCCGTCGGATGAGGATAGACGCTCTGCATCTAGACTGTCCGTTGTTCCGTGAGCAGTTGATTGGACCAAAACAGGCACAATGATAAGGAATGAATGATACTGGTGGTGCCACGACAAAAAAGAAGCGCGTGAGCTTGGGAATTCCGGCACAGCACCCACACGTACCGTTCACCACCGCACTGAAACGTCCATAACAGCCGCAGGAAGCTCACCTTGAGAATGATCCCCACGGGGATGAAATACTCTTGCTTCCTCAGGCTGTAGGGGAGAGTAGATGCAGAGAGGGAGTGTGGGTGGAGGAAGGAAGGAGAGAAATCTGGGACATCAGTGGCAGAGTGAGTGGAGTGGTCAGGGAGGACGGAGGAGGGATCAGATGGGGGAGTGCATGTGCAGACTTGCAGTGACTGGTGGGAAGGGGGAATGGTGCGGAAGAAACGGGAAGTGAGGAAGGAGAGGGGAAAGAGAGGCAGGCTGACTGGAGGGGAGGGAGAGGAGAGGGTGGTGATCTGAGTGAGGGGTGGGGTGGGGAGGAAGAGGTGGGAGAGGTGGGAAGGGAGGAGGGCGGGGAGGGAGGGTGGAGGGGAGGTGGAGGGAGAGAGGGTGGAGGGGTGGTGGAGGGGTAGTGGAGGGAAGGGTGGTGGAGGGAGGGAGGGTGGACGGAGGGAGGTAGGTTGGAGGGAGGGAGGGAGGGAGGGAGTGAAGGGAAGGCAGGACTGACGAGAAGTTGAAGCATGCGTTGCCGTCGTTGACGTAGACGACCCGGTTGGTCACTGCTGATTGGTCCGTGCGCACACACCTGCATGCACCACATGCACCACATACCAAACACGCATAGTATGGAAGAACACCATGCCATGCCACCATGTCAGTTGAGTCACCATGCCACACCACATAATGCACATAATATCATGATGACGCATGTCATATCACATGCCGCCCTTTGTGATGCATGCACGCACATGCATGCTTCTCCTCGCCACGTGCGCCACCATCTTCACAACAGCATAGCCACCGCACCGCACCCCATACCATGCGCGTTCACACAAAAAGCACCCACGGGCCACAGCCAGCTGCCCACCTTTGAGAATTCTCAAAAGTGGGCCACAGCAAGCTGCCACCTCACCGAATGGTGGTGGGCATACCATACCATACCATACCATACCATACCATACCATACCATACCCGAGAAGTTGAGCCCTGCCGCTGAGAAAAGGGCTCATTCACTGCTCAGCAGCGTGGGGAACTATTTTACCATGCTCACAACAGCACAGCACACACCACACGCCATACCATGCGCGTTCACATACCACCTGCACCGCATCGCATGCTCACCGGATGGTGGTGGCCATGTCACTGAAGTTGAGCCCCTCCTTTAGCAGTGTGGGGCGCCAGTATGCTCACAACACACAGCATGCATGGTGCACCCCACCTGCACCGCATCGCATGCTCACCGGATGGTGGTGGCCATGTCACTGAAGTTGAGCCCCTTCTTTAGCAGCGTGGGGCGCCGCAGATTCATCACCTGGTGGTGGTGGGGGGGGGAAGTAGGGAGGGAGCGGGAGCAACGGCAAGCTGTGCTCAATACCTGCGCTTGAGTCACGTCACGGCACGAATCCCTAGTTGAAAGCACAGAGCCTATTTAAAAAAACAGCAGGATCGACCATGTGAAAAAAATTAAACGCCCTCTCATAAATGTACCATTCCCCTCACACCACCATTCCCCTCACACCACCATTCCCCTCACACCACCATTCCCCTCACACCACCGTTCCCCTCACACCACCATTCCCCTCACACCACCGTTCCCCTCACACCACCATTCCCCTCACACCACCGTTCCCCTCACATAGTTGCGGCGGGGAGCAATGAGCAGGCGGATGAGACGCTCGATGCCGTTGCAGATGAAGTAGCTGTGACGGGGAAGGGATGGCATGGCATATGGTGGGTGGGGCATGGCACATGGGCACTTTACATGTAGTGGACGATGGGGGTGGTGGCATTAAGGGGCATGGCAGGATATGACTCCTTTTTGGAAATGATCAAACGGGAATGACTGACAGGGAATGGGAATCCAACGGGCGCCAATGGGCGATTGTAAATTAAGATTAGGGTTGGGCGGGGCATGGGATGGAACTTTGCATGGGGAGAGAGCATACAGTGCTGGCAACGGCTAGGAGAAAGAAAACAGAATCTCCTATTGACATTTTGCTTGCACTATGTCAAAATTCTGAACCACACGGCACCGAACAGAACAGAACAGCCCCGCACAGAACCATTGAGCACAAGGCCCGGCCAAGCTCACCCGCCGAGCTCGATGCTCTCCTCCTTGTGCCGCACGAGCTGCTCCTGAGTGAGGTGGCGCGGGTGGCTCAGCACCACCCCCTCGCTCTCCCCCGCGCTCTCCCCACAAAACCCAGAACCGCACAGCAAACCCAGTTCGACACACAAGGCTTAGTCCAGCTCACCCGCCGAGCTCGATGCTCTCCTCCTTGCGCCGCACGAGCTGCTCCTGCGTGAGGTGGCGCAGATGACATGAACCGGACTGCAGGGGTGCACAGGAGTACAGAGGCATACGCAGGGGTGCACAGGGGTACACATCGCCACGCAGGGATACACAGGGGTGAAGATGGGCACACATGAGTACTCAAGTCTCAAAAGTTCACACGAGCTGCTTCTGAGAGGGACTGCATGCGATCGCCTTTTGAGTCACCTCAACACATTGCACATCAAATTACTTCTTCTGTACTTCAACTTAATCGCACTCGCTCGTGCCACGTCAGCTCAGCACACACACACCTTGACCATGATTGGCACCCTGCCCAGGCTCAGCTGCTGGCGCTGCATGGGACCCTTCGCCACGTCAGCAAGCGCCACGTCATCGTCCTCGTCAAAGTAGGAGACGCAGAGGTCGATGCGGAAGTCGCCCCGGTAGGTGGTGCCCGCCTGGCGACACTGGTGTGGGAGAGACGAAGGGGAAGAGGGCAAAAACGGGGCGAGGAGGGGTGTGGGGAATGGTGGAAAGGAAGTCGATTCGGAAGTCGCCCCTGTAGGTGGTGCCCGCCTGGCGGCACTGGTGTGGAAAGACGAGGGGGAAGGAGGGCGGCGGAGAGCGGAAACGGGGGGAAATGGGGGAAAGGGATGTAAGTGGTGCCCGCCTGGCGGCAGCAGCATGGCAGCAAGGGATGAAGGTGGGGTGAAAGGGTGGGAGCTGAAAGGGCAGCGAAGCAGAGCCCCAAGGGTTCTGCTGTTACCAAGCCGAACCCTTGTGGCGCGCCAAGCACAGGCACCTATGCGACGAGCAACCCCTTCAGTGTCCACTGGGAACCCACTCCCCTCCCTCCAGGGCCGAATGCTTTACTGGTGTTGTGATGCGGTGTACCTCTGAGGGGTAAACGGGTCGGTGCTGGCCATCCTCGCTAAAAGGCTTTGTGATGCTCGGATTCTCCCACCACACTGCGTAGGGAACGGAAACAAGGAAACCCTAAATCTCAATTGCCACGAGTTGATCACGAAAGCTGAGGGTGTGAGAATGAGGGAGACAACGAGTGAGTTTCCTAATGCCTCGACCTTACTGCGATGGGCTTCTCTCCGAGCTTTGACGTGTCTCGAGCATTCAAGCATACAGTATACACTTAGAAAGGGCGCAACAACTATATAACCTCATTGGAGCTTGACGGGGCACTTCGGACTCCTAAATTAGCATCGAGGTCTTGAGACGTCCCAGCAAACCTACAATTGAGTCTAAGCTTGGCGAGACACCCTCGGATCGCTTACAGTAGAATTTGAGCTTCCTGAACGAGTCGTGCACTTCCACGGGTCGAATCAGGTGAACAGCTTCTGGTAACCCGCGCTCGACGAAATAGTCGAAGGAGTCGATGTGCGGCGCGACGAGGTTCTCGAGGTTCTCCGGCACGCCCTGCCGCACGTCGTCGCCCTCGAACGACACCGCCATGCGCGCGACCCCGCTCGCTGCGCTAAACACACGCGCTCGCTGCGCTAACTTGCGATCACTGCGCTGCGATAACTCACGTGCGCACTGCGCTAACACACGCGCGAATCAACACGAACGCGCAAGCGCGGGAATGAGAGAGGCGAACACGCGCGCGCGAGCGACCTGCGGCGAGGTCTCCGGACACAGCTTGACCGCTTCGCGGGAATGAGATAACGAAATGCCTAAGGTGGCTTCGCGAACACTAACCGCACTACCCGCTTCGCTCGCCGCACACGAGCGAATAACCTAATTCAACAGAATCGCCTAACGCAGCTCCCGGCGATTATGAACGACGCAGCACGGGAGGCAACTTCCAGGTAACCAGGTAACGATACAGCTGGTGCAACTGCGCCTCGAAGACGGTTCTGATCGACGGGTCGGTACGGCAATGTGACTGTAACGAATCCTGACCGCCTAAGGCGTAGATAATCCGCGAGTCTTTCAGTCAAATACGACCCTCAGCAGGTAGTGAAGCTATTCGTCAACCTACTGGCAGAGCATCTGTGTCACCTTAGACCTCCTAAACCTCGACTCTACCTCGGCGGGAAATAATTTCTCCACCGTGATTCTGACAGGCAACCCCTGAACCTCTACTTCCAGTACGGTCCTCGTTTGAAGACGATAGAGCAACAAATCGAAGAGAAACTAAATCTTAAATGGTGAGCGAGGCAAAATATATGGACTTGCAGGTCTATAAATGTTCAATTTGTGAAATAGCTATGTTAACCAACAATAGTGAACTAAATAACTAGTTATTAGTTCCAATACGCAGGATTTTGGGTCTCGGAATTAAAAAAAAAAAAAAAACTAAAAATAAACGCAGAAAGCTTTTCTCCATCTCCTAAGCGGCCTGCAGCGAGAAAGAAAACGTGAATTTCTTCACATTTTAGTTGCATATAACTGAAACCAAAAGAGTATTTGAACTGATACATGATTGCAGTGCCACATGGGCACGTCTACTTAATACCCATCTGAGCAGCATAAAAAATATTGCCCCATCGCTATCCTCCCTACTCTCCAAAACTTCCACCATTGCTCAGCGTCCTCTCATCTCTGCCTTGCTTGCTTGCCCTTCTGTACTCCCTTCCAGCTGTTGTCGCCATCCCTGGACTTTTCAAGCCCTATGCCATTTCTTGCCATTCCATGCCATGCCATGCCATGCCAAACATGCCAAGCCATTCCATGCCATCCTATCCCAGGCATGCCATGCCATGCACAGCATGGCACAGCACACAGCATGGCACAGCACATGAAAGAAGATCTAGTTTAAATCAGCGCATTGCAGTGGCATCAGCGCCATAGGGCTCATCATGTGCCACCAAACGTTGCTGCTCCACTTTTGTTACTAATGTCAACGAATGTAGTTGCTACACTTGATTATTACCTATGAGCATCCTGCTCTCATGCAACAGGTGGCATCGGGCCATGGGGCTCATCATGTGCCACCAAACAGCGTCTTGCTCTCATGGGACAGAGGGAGGAAAATAGAGAGAGAGAGAGAAAGAGAGAGAGAGAGAGAGAGAGAGAGAGAGAGAGAGAGAGAGAGAGAGAGAGAGAGAGAGAGAGAGAGAGAGAGAGAGAGAGAGAGAGAGAGAGAGAGAGAGAGAAAACCCACTGCTTGAGGCAGTGGGTGAGGCCCCGTCACTTGGGAATTGCCTCATGGTCCTTGACCCCACACTGGATCTCCCTTAGAGGGGGACACGTGGGGTGGCAGCGTTGCAAGAGGAGTAGGAGGTTTTTATTTGTGCCGGCAGTTACGTGTGATACCAATACCTTGCATGTCTGTACACCTCGACTATCAATGAAAGGGCCATTAGAGAGAGAGAGAGAGAGAGAGAGAGAGAGAGAGAGAGAGAGAGAGAGAGAGAGAGAGAGAGAGAGAGGGAGGAAAACAGAGAGAGGTGAGAGAGGAAGGAAAACAGAGAGAGAGGTGACAGAGGTAGGAAAACAGAGAGAGTGGTGACAGAGGAGGAAAGAGAGAGATGACAGAGGTAGAAAAACAGAGAGAGAGGTGACAGAGGTAGGAAAACAGAGAGAGAGGTGATAGAGGCAGGAAAAGAGAGAGAGAGGTGACAGAGGGAGGAAAACGGAGAGAGGTGACAGAGGTAGGAAAACAGAGAAAGAGGTGACAGAGGCAGGAAAAGAGTGAGAGAGGTGACAGAGGCAGGAAAAGAGAGAGAGAGAGGTGACAGAGGGAGGAAAACGGAGAGAGGTGACAGAGGTAGGAAAACAGAGAAAGAGGTGAGAGAGGGAGGAATTTCCTAACACGCCACACTTACTTGCACCACCCACTCTCACTACCACCCACTCATGTCCACTCTCTTTCCTAACACGCCACACTTACTTGCACCACTCAATTTCACCACCGAATCCCACCACTCACTTTCACCACCGAATCCCACCACTCACTCCCACCTCTCACTCCATCCCATCACCTCGCCACTCCCAACCCTCCACCATCACCGCTCACACTCACCACTCACTCTCACCGCTCTGTCTCACCACACTCTCGCGATTGTCGCCGCTCTAACCTCACCGCTCTAACCACTCATCCTCACCACCCTCTCTGTTCTCACTGCCACCAGCAGCACCCACACACTGCGCACTGTTGTACCCCTTGCCACTCTCCACGCAGTGACACTCACCACTCCCTTACTGCACTCTCACCACTCTCTCCCTGTCCACTCTCAGTCCTCAATCTCTACACTCACTTGCACCACTCACTCCAGTTCACCATCTGGACACTCCCACCCCTACTTCACTCTCCATTCCCACCACGCACCTTCACCACTCGCTCCAACCCCTCACAATCGCCACACGGTCTCACGACACACTCATGATTCTCACCACTCCAGCCACTCACCCGCACCACCTTCTATACTGTCACTGCCACCAGCATGCACTCTCACTGCCATTCTAACCTCCTACTCTCACAACTCTCTCCCACCACTCACTCACTCTCATGGCTGACACCTCCCTCGCTCTACCTCACTCGCCACTCACGCACTCTTGCTGCTCACTCTCCGCACACACCCAAGCTTACCATTCTCACAACTCAATCCCATACTAATTCTCACCTCTTGGACTCTCACTACTCACCCTAACCACTAGCTCTCACTCACCAGCCTTACAAGCACTCACTCATTCACTCACTCACTCACAACTAAAAATCGGCTGTGGCTATCACCACTTTCACCACTCAACTCCCTCAGTCCCACCTGTGGCTATCACCACTTTCACCCATTACCTAATCACACACTCAATCACACCACTCACACTACCCACCATCACCTCTGATGCAACAGGTGGCATCATGTGCCGTACGGCTCATCATGTGCCGCCCAAGGGGACTCAGCCCCTTTCACCTGCACTCACCCACCCAAGGGGACTCAGCCCCTTTCACTTGCACTCACCCACCCAAGGGGACTCAGCCCCTTTCACTTGCACTCTCCCACCCAAGGGGACTCAGCCCCTTTCACTTGCACTCTCCCACCCAAGGGGACTCAGCCCCTTTCACTTGCACTCTCCCACCCAAGGGGACTCAGCCCCTTTCACTTGCACTCACCCACCCAAGGGAACTCAGCCCCTTTCCCTTCCACTCACCCACCCAACGGGTTTCAGGCCCCTTTCCCTTCCCACTCACCCACCCATGGGGTTTCAACCCCTTTCCCTTCCCGCTCACCCACCCATGGGGTTTCAGGCCCCTTTCCCTTCCCGCTCACCCACCATGGGGTTCAACCCCTTTCCCTTCCCAGTCACCCACCCATGGGGTACCCCTTTCCCTTCCCGCTCACCCACCCATGGGGTTTCAACCCCTTTCCCTTCCACTCACCCACCCATGGGGTTTCAGGCCCCTTTCCCTTCCACTCACCCACCCCAAAGGGGACTCAGCCCCTTTTCCTTCAACTCACTCACCCACCCAAGCGGTTTCAGGCCCCTGTCTCATGCACACCACCCAGCCCATCCCCACCATTACCTGCCAGCAGTAGGAGCAGCAGAGAGCGCACTTTCTTAAGGAAACAGCAACCCCTGAGGCTGGGCCTTGTGGGATGAAGTGTGATAGTGGAAAATCGCTTCCAGCCCAAGACTCAAATCCCACCCCTGACGTAGCTAGAGCTGACGCGAACCAGAGCCGCCGGCCGGTCGGCTCTGACGGTGTCCATGAAGCCTTGAACGCCAGATTGGGAACCTGAGCACCGAGTGCCGTTTGAGTCGACTCAAAAGTCACCCCAGATTGGGAACCTGAGCACCGAGTGCCGTGCCGCACAGATTCCACCCTCCACACCCCGCTCCACACCCCTGAGAATGCTGCCCCTCAGGAAGTGAACTCCCCACTTGCTCCCATGCTTCCCCCCACCCACCCCACACTTCACCCCCATGCCTCCTTACCTGTACCTACCAGAGCCATGCAGCAGAGCGCCATGATGGTGAGGCTGCTGGGAAGTGGGGAGGGGGTGATTAGGGGAGGGCGGGGAAAAGGGAGATAGGAGGAGGTGTGTGGGAGGGTGGACTCCACTCTCCTGTCCTTGCTCCAGTGCTCCCACCCTCAGGCTGCAAGGGAGAGGGGAAAAAACGGAGAGAGGAGGAAATCAGATAACCATACCTCACCTGTTACTCACCTGTCACCATACCTCACCTGTTACCACACCTCCGCTAGCCTAGACTGCCCTCTAGCCCCACAGCCCCCACTGCTGCTACTGCTGCTGCCTTGGCCGCTTCTGCTGCTGCAACTGCTGCTGCCGATCAGCTACACTGCTTCGCTGCTGCTGCTGCTGTAGTCTTCTCTTGATGCCAAGTGACCTGCTGGTGGGCGGAAATGGGAGGTGAGGGAGACGAGGGGAGGGGCAGGAGGAGCGGGTGAGTTGGCGAGAACATAAACAGAAGAGCACTAGAGTGGAAAAAAACGAGAATGCAGAAATGAAGGGAGAGCTGCTGCAGCAAGTGAAGTTGAGAAGGGGAGAGGTGAGCTAAGGCATCTTGAGTCCGCTGCACCTTGAGCTGCATCTTGAGCTAAGGGGAGAGGTAACGCACCTTGAGTTGAGAAGGGGAGAGGTGAGCTAAGGCGTGAGGTAACGCACGGGAGAGGTGAGCACGTGAGAGCTGCTGCAGCAAGGGAGAGGTGAGCACGTGAGAGCTGCTGCAGCAAGGGAGAGGTGAGCACGTGAGAGCTGCTGCAGCAAGGGAGAGGTGAGCACGTGAGAGCTGCTGCAGCAAGGGAGAGGTGAGCACGTGAGAGCTGCTGCAGCAAGGGAGAGGTGAGCACGTGAGAGCTGCTGCAGCAAGGGAGAGGTGAGCACGTGAGAGCTGCAGCAAGGGAGAGGTGAGCACGTGAGAGCTGCTGCAGCAAGGGAGAGGTGAGCACGTGAGAGCTGCTGCAGCAAGGGAGAGGTGAGCACGTGAGAGCTGCTGCAGCAAGGGAGAGGTGAGCACGTGAGAGCTGCTGCAGCAAGGGAGAGGTGAGCACGTGAGAGCTGCTGCAGCAAGGGAGAGGTGAGCACGTGAGAGCTGCTGCAGCAAGGGAGAGGTGAGCACGTGAGAGCTGCTGCAGCAAGGGAGAGGTGAGCACGTGAGAGCTGCTGCAGCAAGGGAGAGGTGAGCACGTGAGAGCTGCTGCAGCAAGGGAGAGGTGAGCACGTGAGAGCTGCTGCAGCAAGGGAGAGGTGAGCACGTGAGAGCTGCTGCAGCAAGGGAGAGGTGAGCACGTGAGAGCTGCTGCAGCAAGGGAGAGGTGAGCACGTGAGAGCTGCTGCAGCAAGGGAGAGGTGAGCACGTGAGAGCTGCTGCAGCAAGGGAGAGGTGAGCACGTGAGAGCTGCTGCAGCAAGGGAGAGGTGAGCACGTGAGAGCTGCTGCAGCAAGGGAGAGGTGAGCACGTGAGAGCTGCTGCAGCAAGGGAGAGGTGAGCACGTGAGAGCTGCTGCAGCAAGGGAGAGGTGAGCACGTGAGAGCTGCTGCAGCAAGGGAGAGGTGAGCACGTGAGAGCTGCTGCAGCAAGGGAGAGGTGAGCACGTGAGAGCTGCTGCAGCAAGGGAGAGGTGAGCACGTGAGAGCTGCTGCAGCAAGGGAGAGGTGAGCACGTGAGAGCTGCTGCAGCAAGGGAGAGGTGAGCACGTGAGAGCTGCTGCAGCAAGGGAGAGGTGAGCACGTGAGAGCTGCTGCAGCAAGGGAGAGGTGAGCACGTGAGAGCTGCTGCAGCAAGGGAGAGGTGAGCACGTGAGAGCTGCTGCAGCAAGGGAGAGGTGAGCACGTGAGAGCTGCTGCAGCAAGGGAGAGGTGAGCACGTGAGAGCTGCTGCAGCAAGGGAAAGGTGAGCACGTGAGAGCTGCTGCAGCAAGGGAGAGGTGAGCACGTGAGAGCTGCTGCAGCAAGGGAGAGGTGAGCACGTGAGAGCTGCTGCAGCAAGGGAGAGGTGAGCACGTGAGAGCTGCTGCAGCAAGGGAGAGGTGAGCACGTGAGAGCTGCTGCAGCAAGGGAGAGGTGAGCACGTGAGAGCTGCTGCAGCAAGGGAGAGGTGAGCACGTGAGAGCTGCTGCAGCAAGGGAGAGGTGAGCACGTGAGAGCTGCTGCAGCAAGGGAGAGGTGAGCACGTGAGAGCTGCTGCAGCAAGGGAGAGGTGAGCACGTGAGAGCTGCTGCAGCAAGGGAGAGGTGAGCACGTGAGAGCTGCTGCAGCAAGGGAGAGGTGAGCACGTGAGAGCTGCTGCAGCAAGGGAGAGGTGAGCACGTGAGAGCTGCTGCAGCAAGGGAGAGGTGAGCACGTGAGAGCTGCTGCAGCAAGGGAGAGGTGAGCACGTGAGAGCTGCTGCAGCAAGGGAGAGGTGAGCACGTGAGAGCTGCTGCAGCAAGGGAGAGGTGAGCACGTGAGAGCTGCTGCAGCAAGGGAGAGGTGAGCACGTGAGAGCTGCTGCAGCAAGGGAGAGGTGAGCACGTGAGAGCTGCTGCAGCAAGGGAGAGGTGAGCACGTGAGAGCTGCTGAAGCCAGGGAGTGCTTGACACGTGAGAGCTGCTGCAGCAGGGAGAGGTGAGCACGTGAGAGCTGCTGCAGCAAGGGAGAGGTGATCTTGTATGAGCCGCCGCCGACCGGGATCGGTGAGCACGTGAGAGCTGCTGCAGCAAGGGAGAGGTGAGCACGTGAGAGCTGCTGCAGCAAGGGAGAGGTGAGCACGTGAGAGCTGCTGCAGCAAGGGAGAGGTGAGCACGTGAGAGCTGCTGCAGCAAGGGAGAGGTGAGCTAAGGCGTGAGGTAACGCACCTTGAGGGGCCACACCCATCCCGATACTCTCCCTAGCAGAACCATTTGAGTCCGCTGCAGTGCTGCCTCCTCCCCATCCCCGTGGGTGCCTACAAACCACCAAAGGAGGGGCGTGCAGGAGTGGCGCCGTTGACACCCACGCCCCTCCCCTCCACCTGCAATGGCCCACGGAGAAAGAGTGAGGGACTGGTGGAGAGGCGAGGGGTGAAGCAGGAGGGCGGATGCACAACAAGCAATCGGAAAGACGAGAGGGGAGGGGGTCACTGGTTCAGCCTCAGCTGCAAGCCACATACCAAGGGAAGGTTATACCAGGTGGGGGTTATACCAGGTGGGGGTTATACCAGGAGGGGGTTATACCAGGAGGGGAATATACCGGGGGGGGTTACGCAAGAAAAAGTGACTGTGGCTTGAAGCCTTAGCTCAACCAGAGGCATGCATTTGAAGAGACGAGATACAGGAGGCACAGCAAAGATGAACATGGAAAGCAAACGAGCTCAAGAGGGAGAACTGGGAGAGGAAGAGCACGGCAGGGACTTAGCTGTGTGAAGGTTGGGTGGAGAGCAGCTGCTGCCTGTGCACTCCATGTCCCCCACCACTGCCACTCCCGTGTGAGCGACCTGCTGGGATGAGAGGGTTGCAGAGTGGGACAGAGAGAGGAAGGGACGAGGGACGGAGGTGGGGGAGAAGAGGACGGAGGTGTGAAGGGGGAGGAGATGCGTGGGAAGAGAAATGAGGAAAGAAACTTAGACGTTTGAGTAAAGTGAGAGCAATGTGCAGTGGATGAGTGGATTGCTGCTGCAGTGGCAAACCCAAGAGACCTCGTACCAGCTGAACCACACTGAATAAAATATCTGAGGCTTTACCAGAGATTTGTACCTGTTACCTTGGGGAGGGAGGTCCCTTGAGTGTGATAAAGCGCAGCAGCGAACAGAATATGGTGCATGGTGCAAACAAGACACGAAATGCAACACAAGCGCAAGGGCTGGGTTCGGCGTAGAGAGGCGATGAGGGTACTTAGCTGTGGTGGGTTGGTTCTGCTGTTTGTGCACTCCATGTCCCACCCCATACTCTCCCTCCTGTTGCCCTCCTGTTGCCCTCCTGCTGCCCTCCTGCTGCCCTCCTGCTGCTACCCTCCTGCTGCCCCCTTCCTCCCTGCTGCAGCCTCGGTTGCACTGGGCGCTGCGAGGGAGGCGGTGGGAGGGGCGCAGGGAGCAAGGGACAGCTGTGAGCATGGGGAGATGAGCAGGCAGAAGCGTAAAGGTACACAAAGGGAGCAAGAAAGTGAAGTGAGAATAGGGAGAAGACGAGCAGCCGCACGAGTGAAGGGAAGAGGAAACAGCGGCTCACCTTGTTCAGGAGACCCAAGTCCAATACTCTCCCATCCCATCCCAACCGAGTGGTGTGCTGCCGAGTCAGTGAGGGGGGAGAAGGCACTTAACTGGCAGATGAAGAGTCAACGACGCCTGCTGTCTCATATCCCCTCCCCTCCCCTCCCTTCCCCTCCCCTCCACTCCCTTCCCCTCCCCTCCCCTCCTTTCCCCTCCCCTCCCCTCCCTTTCCGTCCTCTCCCCTCCTGCTGCTCCTGCAGAGTGGTCTGGAAGGGGGAGGAGAGGAGGGGAGGCAAGGAGGCGAGTGAGAACAGGAATGGCAAGGGCAGGCTTGAAAAGACAGGAAAGGGCAACGAGAAGGATGAGCATTCACAGACTTCCAGCAGAACGCGAGTGCAGTGCGGAAGAGCAGGCAAAGGGCTCATCTTGAGACGCCACGCCCATCCCCATACTCTCCCTCGTGGCAGCGATTGCAATCCGCTGCAGTGCTGCCTCCCTCCCGTCCCCACCACTCATCTCTGCTGCACGCCAAGTAATCTGGCGGGGGGAGCAGAGCGGAGAGAGGGAAGGAGGCGAGAGAGTGAAGACAGGCAAGAGGGATAGAGAAGGATGAGCGAGAAAGAACCGGCAAGGAGGAAGGTAACGTACCTTGAGAGGCCATGCCCAGCCCCATACTCTCCCTCATGGCAGCGATTCCAATATACTGCAGCGCTGTCTCCCTCCCGTCCCTGCATGGCCACAGGGGAGAGGTGAGAGGGAGCGTCGGTGTTGACCCCACGCCCCTCCCCTCCAGCAAGGCACAGAGAGAGCAGTGGTGAGTGGGATTGCAAGGAAAGGCCCCAAGCACAAGTGAGAGAGCAGTCACTGCCATGCATGGAGGAAGGAAGAAGGGGCCACTGGGGAGGCACGACCACACGCAACAGACCCAAGGGGACCTGCATACCTGAGAGGGATACCTGCACCTGAGAGGGATACCTGCACCTGAGAGGGATACCTGCACCTGAGAGGGATACCTGCACCTGAGAGGGATACCTGCACCTGAGAGGGATACCTGCACCTGAGAGGGATACCTGCACCTGAGAGGGATACCTGCACCTGAGAGGGATACCTGCACCTGAGAGGGATACCTGCACCTGAGAGGGATACCTGCACCTGAGAGGGATACCTGCACCTGAGAGGGATACCTGCACCTGAGAGGGATACCTAGACATGAGGGGCAAACCTGACGTGAGAGGGTCTGTGGCATGTGAGTCGGGCCCTACCAGTGGCACTGATTCAAGGAGACGGATGACAGCACAACCAGCCAAGGCATTGAGAGCAAACGAGGTGGCAGGCAAGGGAGAGGGCGTGGACGAAGGTACTTAGCTGGTGGCGTGAGAGCAGGTGACAGTTGAAGAAGCACCAGGGCAGCTGAAGCACCACCAGGTGACTCCTCCCAGCAGCCCTCCTCGCAGCCTCCCGTGTGCGTCCCTGCACGGCCACAGGGGAGAAGCGTGAGGGAGCGTCGGTGTTGACCCCACGCCCCTCCCCTCCACCAGCAAGGCACAGACACAGAGCAGCAGTGAGTGCGCATGGAATGGCCAACACCAGAAGCTGCCAAATCAGGAAGATAGGAGGGGGCCACTGATGGAAGCACGGCCACAGTCACAGAGCCCAAGGGAACCTGCAGTACCTGAGGGGGATACCTGCACCTGAAAAAATACCTGAAGTAAGGGGGTCTGTGGCATGTGGGCCGTCCCAAGCAGTGGCACTGATTCAAGGAGAAAGGCAAAAGCACGAGCAAGAACAGACTGGCAAGTACAAGTGATGACGTGGAGGAAGGGGCACTTAGCTGGAAGCGAGAGAGGAGGTGGCAGTTGAAGGAGCACGGGCAGCAGGCGTGTCCCTCCCACTGTAGCTCGGCTCTAGCGCTGCTGGGTGGAACGGGGGGGAAGGGGGGTTGGGCGGGAAGTGGGGGGGAGGGTAAGGAAGAGGGGAGGGTGCGCTTAGAAGGGCAGTGAGAGGGAGGGAGGCAGCAGCGGGAAAGAGGATGCATGCATGCAACGTGAGATGGAGCAAGAACGGGAGGAGGGCCACTGGTGCACACACAGTCACAAGCCACACACCCACGGGCTGGTTGGTTGCTACCTGCAGTGAGAGAGGGCTATACCTGAAGGCATCACCTGGGGGGGGCTTTACCTGAGAGTGAGCGGGGTGTGTGGGTTGTACCTTGTGCTGCCAGCAGTGGCCCCAATTTGATGGACGACGGGATGAAGGAAACGCGGAAGCATGGAAAGGGGTGTGGTGCGGGATGCAAGGTGGATGCACTTAGCTGACGATGTTACTGCTGTCTGCTGCCACCAGGTGCTTCAGGCATGAGGGCGACCCACGTGCTCGCTTGCTGCCCCACGTCCGCCTGCCATTGCTCCTTGAGGCCGAGTGACCTGCACGGAGAGAAGAGCGGAGGGAACGAGGAGCGAGTAGCATGAGTAATAGGAAGGGAGAGAGTGGAGAGGCAGTGGTGTTGACCCCCACGCCCCTGCCGTCCACAAGCAGTGCACACGAGCAGCACTGGTAAGTGAGGTCGCTGGGAGGGGAGGAAGGGCGAATGGCAGGTGAGAGGAGGCACGGTGCGAGGCGGTGGAGGGGAGGGGTCACCAGTGGGGGCACAGCCAGCACAAGCCACAGACCTCAGGGGAAACCTGCCGTAAGGATGCACCTGAGGGAGAAAAGGGCGTCTGAACCTGAGGGGGTTCACACCTGAGGGGGTTAAACCTAAGAGGGGATACCTGCAGTAGAAGGTCTGTGGCTTGTGAAGCAAGGCCCAATCAGTGGCGAGAGTTTGAAGGAGAAACAACGGAAGCGTGTGTGAGCAAGCATGACTTGAGTTGAGGGATGAGAAGGTGCTTATCTGAAGCAGACGCGCTGCTGAGGGTGAGATTTGCCACCCTTGTTCCGCGAGCTTCAGATAAATCGCCCGCAAATGGCACTGAGCCAAAAAATGAACCTGCGAAACAGATTTGCGAAATTGATCCGCGCAGATGAGTCACGAATTTGAGACGAGAAACGCGAGATGGATCCGCAAAGACGATTTGCAGACATTGAGATACTGATGACAAGCGAAATTGATCAAGAAACGAATTCGCGAATTCGAATAAACGTAACATCACGAAAGGTGTGGCAATACCTGAGCTGCAAGACGAGGACGAGTGTCGATCCGAGTTCGCACAGCCGCGCTCTCCGATTCGTGGCTCTACAGAATCACGTGCAGCCAAATCGGGGTGAAATGTCGCGTCCACATCGACCTGCCACATGCCGAGCATGCAGGCGCCATGTCAGAAATACCGCTTGACGATTTCGAATCCTAGTTTTGCGAAAACGAAATACACCAGGCAAGACAACTCGATGCGGGAAAAAGACCAAGGACTCGATGCGGATGTGTTCTCAAGTACCTGAGTAGAGAGATTCTAGAGAACATCATCCCGTTGCCATTGCCAGACTAAGAGCTCCGAACTTCCGAGTACGCGTGGCTCTCCAAAATCGCGCACAGCCAAATTGGAGAAGATGTCGCGTCCACAACGAACCTGGCACGTTCCGAAGATGCAGACGCAAGGAAAACACCCCATGTCGATTTCGTATTCTAACTTCGCAAATTACACCAGACAATGAAACTCGGGGCGCGAAAAATAAGCAGGTGCTCTCAGTATTACCTGAGTGAAAAATCCTTCTGCGCAAAACATGCAGAATTTCCACGCTAGATGAAGCTCCTACGATTTCAATCTTGAAAAATCGCTTCAGGAAACGTAAGCCTGAGCTCTCTAAATGTCAAAACGCTGAGCTCTAGAGCTATGGAAGCAGAGTTCTAAGAACGGAGCAAGTGAGCAGAAGAAGCTGGGAGGAAAAAATGGGAGCAGAAGGCAAAAAACGCTGTGAAATGTGAGGCTCAGGCGAGAATGACGTTGGAATGAGGCGGAGGGGTTGCGGAATGCCTCGCCTCTCCTTCCCTCACATCCCAACTAACGCTCTTGGGTTCCCACCACGCAAGATCTACCGTCCAGAATCAATCAAGCGTTCGAAATGACTCTCCGAGTCCAGATCGCAGCCGTAGGTTGGAGTTTCCATTTCGCCAACGCCAACCATACAAGCAGTGTTGAAGAAAAACCCTCGTTCTTGATTCGAATACAGTTCAAACCAGTTCTGTTGGATGGTCCGGTCAGGCTCAGATTTTCCGCATGACATGGATATTTGAGAGTCCACTTCATGGCTGGTCAGGAATCGTTCACGTGGCACGTGAATCCTGGCGGTCACGGAAAGGAACGGAAAATCGCCGACTGTGTACTGCTCGCGTGTCGCGTCGTCGCCTCAGTGGCTACGCGAGTCGAACACCGACCTTTTTCAGCGGGGAAAATATGTCACAGGTAACCATCATGTGACCCGATAACGTCAATGGTAAAAAAAAAAAAGCGTACGGTAACTGTATCGAGTGTCCTGACGGGCTTGGTAAGCGGGGTCACGGAATCAGTCACCATCAACAGCTAGGGTTTCACGCGAATGGTAACACATGAAACCCCCGCCAGAAATTCCTGAAACCAGGCCGATTTCCCGCTCGCGCCAACTCGTGCGGAGAGGTTTGATGCACGCTTGTACCGTCGAGCCTCCAGCCCACCGTAACCACACCACGACCCGACGTGCTGTACACCCCCCTGCCCGCTACGGTTCCAACCAAGTACAGAACCTTGACCCCAGCGCAGCTCTCCAACTTACTTCCCGCCATCAGCTATTCCTCACGCTATTACTAGTAGCTATCATACCTTTCGCCAGCTGCCTTCCCCGTCACGCATCCAAGGCGTTCGTTAGCAGCACCTGACTTCCTATCAACGGTGCGTGCCTTAGCCCTAAAGCCTTTCCCCATCCATTCACGTTTAGTCCCTTGTTACTCGAAAATTACTACTAATATGAATGAATAAAGTCGATCAGACCGCTGTCGCGATGCGCCCACAAACCGGCGCGCCGAACAGCGCATCGCCCGATGCATCGGGCCCGATCGTCGCGAGATGCATCGCGACGATCAGGAGCAGCCGCCGCCGCGATGCGCATTGCGGCCAGCTTCGGGCCGCAAAGCGCATCGCGCCGACCGGGCCGCCGCCGCCGCGATGCGCATTGCGTCCTGCTTTTGGCCGCTCCGCGCATCGCGTCGACCAGGCCGCCGCCGTCGCAATGCGCAATGCGGCCACCCTGCCGGCCGCATTGCGACGATCCGCCACCGTGATGCGCTAACCCGCCGCTCCCATACGCTCTCATTCCCTCTCACCCACTCTCTTACGCTCTCATTCCCTCTCACCCACTCTCTTACGCTCTCATTCCCTCTCACCCCATCTCTTACGCTCTCATTCCCTCTCACCCCCTCTCTTACGCTCTCATTCCCTCTCACCCACACTCATACGCTCTCATTCCCTCTCACCCACTCTCATACGCTCTCATTCCCTCTCACCCACTCTCATACTCTCTCATTCCCTCTCACCCACTCTCATACTCTCTCATTCCCTGTCACCCACTCTCAATCTCTCATTCCCTCTCACCCACACTCATACGCTCTCATTCCCTCTCACCCACACTCATACACTCTCATTCCCTCCCACCCACTCTCATACGCTCTCATTCCCCTATCATCCCCTCTCATCCCCTCTCATCCCATCTTATACACTCTCACCCACTCTCATACACTCTCTTACACACTCTCAACCCTCCTCATCCACTCTCATACACTCTCAACTCCTCTCATCCTCTCTCACGCACTATCAGACACTCTTAAACACTCTCATCCCCTCGCATACACACTCATACCCCCTAATCCGCTCTCGTCCACCCCCATACACTTCCATATACTCTCATACACTCTCATCATCCCTTATCATACACTCTCATTCACTCTCATCCCCTCTCCTCCCCTCTCATCCCATCTCATTCCCTCTCATACACTCTCATACACTCTCGTACCCACACATACCCACTCATAGACTATCATATACACTCTCATCCCCTCTTATACACTCCCCAACACACTCATACACTCTCATCCCTTCTCATCCCCTATCATCCCCTCTCATCCCCTCTCATCCCCTATCATCCCATCTTATACACTCTCACCCACTCTCATACGCTCTCATTCCCTCTCACCCACTCTCATACGCTCTCATTCCCTCTCACCCACTCTCATACTCTCTCATTCCCTCTCACCCACTCTCATACGCTCTCATTCCCTCTCACCCACACTCATACGCTCTCATTCCCTCTCACCCACTCTCATACGCTCTCATTCCCTCTCACCCACTCTCATACGCTCTCATTCCCTCTCACCCACTCTCATACTCTCTCATTCCCTCTCACCCACACTCATACGCTCTCATTCCCTCTCACCCACACTCATACGCTCTCATTCCCTCTCACCCACACTCATACGCTGCCATTCCCTCTCACCCACTCTCATACGCTCTCATTCCCTCTCACCCACTCTCATACGCTCTCATTCCCTCTCACCCACTCTCATACTCTCTCATTCCCTCTCATCCACTCTCATCAACTCTCATACGCTCTCAACCCCTCCCATCCACTCTCATCCCCTCTCATCCCCTCTCACACACTCTCATTCCCACTCATCTCCTCTCGTCCTATCTCACACACTATCATTCCCCCACATTCACTCTCATCTACTATCATACACTCATATTCACTCTCATCCCCTCTCATCCCCTCTCATCCACTCTCATCCCCTCTCATCCACTCTCGTTCCCCTTCACACACTCTCATTCCCTCTCATACACTCTCGTACCCTCTCTTCCACTCACATTCCCTCTCATCCCTTCTCTTCCACTCTCAACCCCTCTCATCCCATCTCTTCCACTCTCATTCCCTCTCATCCCCTCTCCTACACTCTAATCCCCTCTCATACACTCTCATTTCCACTCATCCCCTCTCATTCACTCTCGTTCCCTCTCATCCCCTCTCATTCACGTTCATCCCCTTTCATCCCCTCTCATCCCCTCTCATCCACTCTCATACGCTCTCATTCCCTCTCACCCACCCTCACACCCTCTCATTCCCTCTCACACACTCTCATACGCTCTCATTCCCTCTCACCCACTCTCATTCCTTCTCATTCCCTCTCACCCATACGCTCTCATTCCCTCTCACCCACCCTCACACGCTCTCATTCCCTCTCACCCACTCTCATTCACTCTCATAAGCTCTCATCCCCCCTCATCCCCTCTCACACACTCTCGTTCCCTCTCATACACTCTCGTACCCTCTCTTCCACTCACATTCCCTCTCATCCCTTCTCTTCCACTCTCAACCCCTCTCATCCCATCTCTTCCACTCTCATTCCCTCTCATCCCCTCTCCTACACTCTAATCCCCTCTCATACACTCTCATTTCCACTCATCCCCTCTCATTCACTCTCGTTCCCTCTCATCCCCTCTCATTCACGTTCATCCCCTTTCATCATCTCTCATCCCCTCTCATCCACTCTCATACGCTCTCATTCCCTCTCACCCACCCTCACACCCTCTCATTCCCTCTCACACACTCTCATACGCTCTCATTCCCTCTCACCCACTCTCATACCCTCTCATTCCCTCTCACCCACTCTCATACGCTCTCATTCCCTCTCACCCACCCTCACACGCTCTCATTCCCTCTCACACACTCTCATACGCTCTCATTCCCTCTCACCCACTCTCATACCCTCTCATTCCCTCTCACCCACTCTCATACGCTCTCATTCCCTCTCACCCACCCTCACACGCTCTCATTCCCTCTCACCCACTCTCATTCACTCTCATAAGCTCTCATCCCCCCTCATCCCCTCTCACACACTCTCGTTCCCTCTCATACACTCTCATCCCCCCCCATCCCCTCTCCTACACTCTAACCCACTCTCATACACTATGCTGGTTGCAGGGATGGGATGGCGGAAGGAGAAGAGAAGAGAGGAGCTTACCTTGTTCATACCCTAAGGTGACGGTTAGAGGGTGGGTAAATTGGTGTTGGCGGTTATTAGTGGTAGGTGAGACGGTGCCTGTCGATGAGGTACATGGACGATAAGCGTGGTGTTGAGATATTTCCTCGTCACTTTCGACGGTTAATGCTGGATATAACGAGTGGGCCAACACTATCACCTGGAATAGCAGTTGGCATTGCATTCATATATAATCATCATCTGGTTTACAAAGTCGTGATCAACATGTTGGTGAGAGTGGACTGTTTGCACAAGAGTGCCACACACAGGGCTCTCGTTATCAGACCAAATTGGTCTGATTTTCTGATTTTCAGACCTTGATTTTGGGTTTCATCTGATTCTCAAGACAGGGGTTTTTACTTCGTCTGATCCGTAAGATTACGAAATATAGCTCATCTGATTTTTCAGAGCAAGCCTAATACTTGGTCTGAAATTTCAGATAGCGGGTTGCAATTCGTCTGATACCGAACACCCTCCTCCCCCCCCCCCCCTCCCCCCCGATCCCTCGCTTCTCTAAGCCCCCTTTCGATGCCCTCGCTCCTCTTCCTGGCCTAGTCCAGACCTTCTTCCCCTTCCCCCCAGCCTTAGGTCCCCTCCCTCCCCATGTCCCCTCCCCATGCCCCTCGTGAAGTCTCGCAACAACCCAGCCCTCCCCTTTCTTCTCGCGTCCCTCCAACCAACCTGATCCCTCGCAGCACCTCAATGCCACGTGCATGCCCCTCAACAGCCACACGCCTGTCAGCTAGCTAGCTGCACAGCGCCGCGCTAGGGGCGTGTTCATTAACAAAAACAAGTGTGATTATGCTAGACAAGGGTGTTAGCTGAATCTGACTATGCAAATTAAATAGTCTGAAAGATCAGACTAAGCTCCAACATTCGTCTAGAAAATCAGACCAGAAAAATATGCCCGTCTGATCGTCAGACGGAACGATTTTTTACTTTGGTGTTTTCAGACAGGCCCAAATCTTAGCAAGAGCCCTGGCCACACATTTGCCACTCACAGCATTAATGTGTACATGATAGTCCTCCGCATTGCCCATGACTATCATATGCAAATGCAATACGTTTGCGATAATCTGCGAGCATGTTTCGTAGTAGAAGTGTAGCTGGCTTCTCCGAGGGACACAAAGCTGCTCAGACCATCAAAAACATGATAGAACGAAGGCGTTGGATGTTATTTTAATACAATCACCACTGCGTACTATCGTGCGGGTTCTGAAACATTTGTATCAAACACCAGCTCTGCTTTCAGCAATCGCATATGTGCAATACTGCACCGTCCACAACCATGTGACATACTGTACATACAAATTTTGACACATTTACCGTATGTACCATCTAAACCCCTACAGGGATGGAAGGGAATGTCAGTAGATCTGCACTGTGGATGCCCGATTGATCCTGGAGAGGGTTACAGGCGCGTTCGCCTGGGGGGTTATGGGCGCACTGACCCGCTACTGAAACAAGCCCTTTTATCCCAATGGTCTAGTGGTTGGGATTCTGACATGGTATCAGAGCGGTCTCGGGTTCGATTCCCGGTGTATGCACATGTAGGCCGTTGCCGCTGTGCTTAGTCCTGGGCCTCTCAGTGTGGGGGGGTGTCAGTAGATCTGCACTGTGGATGCCCGATTGATCCTGGAGAGGGTTACAGGCGCGTTCGCTTGGGGGGTTATGGGCGCACTGACCCGCTACTAAAACAAGCCATTTTATCCCAATGGTCTAGTGGTTGGGATTCTGACAGGGAAGTGATATAGCGTCACGCACCTGCCCCACTCACTTCCTCGGCCCACAACAACCACAGAAGTCAGCATAAAAAGGCTGATTTGGGTTAAAAAAACCCTGAAATTTTTAGAACTGTGGCTGATTATTCATGCATACCATAGTCCCAAGTGGTGCTGTTCTTTGTCCCTGTTAGCAAGGACACCTAATGTCAAATCCATGCACCTGTTGGGCTGAAAAGGCCCTAAGGATCTTTACAGAGGATAACTCTGGGTAGGATACTTTGTAATAGCGGAAGCGTTTAATGAAGCTTTGTGAACCGACCTTGCACTAGTGTGTGAGAGCAAAGTAGATTAAATTATAGTGAAAGGATACAAGCTTATATAATAATACAAGGAATATGAAGAGATACGGTTATAACTACTTTTACTGTTGCTGTTGCGGTTCGATACAGTGCGACTCGGGCAACTGCTCTGTAACGAGTCAGTTGTGTGTCCTTAACTGTCGCGCTGTTCTTGTCAGGTCAAGGGTCAACGACCTTTGACTTTCGCGTAACTTCCTGCAGCCGATTCAACCTCCGAAGGTTGACTCGCAGGTGCTTCGGTGTAGGTTGCCTCGCTTCTGGTGCAATGTTTTGACACTGCTGAAGCGTTTAAGTTCCATTGTTTCCAACACTCCCCTTCGCTTCTGGAGTGTCGCTACTGGTGACGTGGCTCTGTCCAGTCAGCAGCATGCAGTATTCGAACTTCTGATTTCCGAGCTTCTTGGTCAAGTAATCGGCTGCCATCTCAGACGTGGGACAGTATGACAGTTCGAGTTTCCCCTTCTCGATCTCGTCCTTCACGAAGAAATAGCGCAGGGCAATGTGTTTTGTCCTGTTTGCGAAGCCGTTCTTGTTGGCGATGCGAATTGCTGACTGGTTGTCGCAGAACACGGTGAAGCTGGGTAACTCGGCTAACTTCGCTTCTTCCAGCAGTTCGCGAAGGTAAAGTCCCTCCTTGGTGGCTCAGCAGAGTGCGATATATTCCGCTTCAGCTGAAGACAGTGCGATTAACTCCTGCTTACTCGACTGCCAGGAGATAGGACCGATAGGCTCGAGGCGGTAGACATAGCCGGTGCGTGAGCGCCTATTGTCGGTGTCGCCGGCGTGATCGGCGTCGACGTAGCCGATTAGCTGGGTCGGTGTAGTTGCGTTTTTGTGATAAGTTAGTCCGATCGTCGCGGTGCTGACGAAGTAGTGGAGAGCGCGATCGAGTTCCGCCAGATGCTCTACTTCAAGCTTCTTGAGATAGGTGGCGAGCTGACTCGCGGAGTAGGATAAGTCGGGACGGCATGTGACTGCTGCGAAGAGAAGACACCCGAGCTTCTTCTGATAGTCGCGTATGCCGGCAGGCTTGAGTAGAATAGATCGTTCCTTTTCGGTTCCTGACGTGTAGCGGTAAGGCGTGGAGAGGGCGCTTGGTGTGAGACCGAAGCGTTTCGCGATGGTGTCGGCGTATTTCTCGGCGCTGAGGTAGATCGCGTCCTTCCCTTCTCGGATGTTGAGTCCGAGATATTGCGTGACGGTAGATGAGACGGTGAGGGTAAGGTCCTTCTGCAGCTCCCCTTCGAACCACGTGGCGATGCCGTCGGTTGACCCAATGTAGAGGAGATCGTCCACGTAGACGATCAGGAGAACGTAGTCGCTTCCCTTTGTGAGGCGGTACATGCCCTGGTCATGCGGGAGTTGTTTAAAACCGATGCGGATAAGGCGGGTGTGCAGGTACTGCTGCCACAGTCGCGGTGCCTGCTTGATCCCGTAGAGCGACTTAAGCAGCTGACAGACTTGATTGGGTTCACCGTGGGAGCCGTGCGGGAGCTCGACGAAGATTTCTGCATCCACAGGTGCGTAGAGAAAAGCGTTTGCGACGTCGATTTGTCGCGGTTTCTTTTTCTTCATGGCGGCGATGGCGATGAGGATTCGGAGTGAGGTGTGACGGCTGACCGGAGCGAAGGTTTTGGTGTAGTCTCTTCCGTGCTCCTGGTCAAAGCCGCGCACGACCCAGCGAGCTTTGAATTTGTCGATGGTGCCGTCAGCTTTCGTCTTCACAAGGAAGACCCACTTCCCAATAAGGATAGTCTTGTTTTGTGCTACGCCGATGGGAACGATTTTCCAGGTGTTGCGCTCCTCCAGTGCCTTCAGCTCTTTGTCCATGGCTTCACGCCATTTCTCCCTATGTTCCCCCCCAGAGGCTGTTGAACCGTCGCAGGCTCTTTAGGAATGGCGGCGCCATGGACTGCGGTGACGAGTCCAAGGATTTGGAGGCCACTCTGTGTGTAGCGGGGGAGTGTGCCGGGGAGAGTGTTGTCCTCGGGATAGGCTGCTTCGTCTCCCTCTTCTGGATCAGGTATGAAGTTTGGTCCTATGCGTTCAGCTTCGTCGGTGTTGACTCTTGCAGGTGTTACGTAACCGTTGTCGGCGAAATGGTAGTAGATTTCGGCGTTGTTACTGTCGCGCGGGTTTTCGTCATCCATGGGGACGTTGACGGAGCAGTACGGGAGTGGTCCGACTGCTTCCGAGGCTCCTTCCACGTTCTGCTCGTCCCAGTCAGCTTCGTCTTCTGCCGATGCGAAGGCTCGGTTGCCACGGAAACCACCTGTGGGGTCTCGGTTCTCGTCCAGGTTGGCAAGATAAGTTTGCATGGTGAGTCGTTCGTAGAAGATGATGTCACGTGCTGCCACTGTTTCCTTCGTGTGGACGTCGAAGATTTTCCATGCGTTGTAGTGTTTTTTTATGCCCAGGTGTAGCCCCCACTGTGCTCGTTGCGAAAATCGGCCGGCCCGTGCAGATGGTGGTCGGTACTGTACCATGCACCCAAAAACTCGTAACATTTTTGTGTTGCCCAATTTCCCGGTCCACAGCAGATGCGGTGATGCGTTGTTCGGGAGTGACGAAGAGGAGAGCAATTTGTGTAGCATTACAGCGTGGTCCATCGCTTCTGGCCACTGGTGGTTTGGAAGCCGCATGCCACGTAACAGTTTCCGCATGGTGTTTTGGAGGGTCCTGTTCAGCCTTTCTTCTACACCCTGTTGTTGATGGGCGTAAGGAAGGGAGATGAGGCGCTTGATGCCTTTCTCAGCCAGGTAGTTCTTGAACCTCGTCGAGGTATATTCTCCTCCTCCGTCTGTTTGGAAGCTTTTTAACTTGACGCCTGATTCCCGCTCTGCTACGGGAAGCCACGCGACGAACGCCTCGAACGCCATATCTTTGCTTGGGAGATTCAGGTGCCAGACGTAGCGTGTTGCGGCGTCGATGAAGGTAATCGTGTAGAGGTACGTATTCTGCCCTGGTTCACGGTTGTATAGGATGTTGCTGTACACCTTTTCGAGTGGTGTGTAAGCTGGTGCACTTGGGTTGTGGTGCGATGGGAACGGTTGATGAGGTAGGTCTCCTTCTGGGCAGGTGAAGCATGTGCCGCGTACGCGTTGGAGTTCTTGTCCGTTGGTTAATAGGAGTGAGTCTTTGTCGAGCACTCCTGCTCGTATTGTGTTGTTTAACACTGTGTTGCTTGGATGTCCCATTCTTGCGTGCCAGGTTGCTTCGTCGGCACGGTGTCCGGGTGATCGTCGGTACAGATCCGAGTTGGAGTAGAAGCTGGTGGTGAAGTTGGGGCTGTGATGAAACTCTCGTGGTGCTGGCTGAAACTGTTGTGCAGGTGTCGGTGATGCGTCGTCAACGAGGACTGGTGCCGTTGAAGGACCAGCGACTGGTGTTGTTGTTGGTGCCGTTGTTGTCTCTGCTGCTGCCAATGTTGTTCCTGCTGCTCCCGATGTTGTCTCTGCTGCTACCAATGTTGTTCCTGTTGCTCCCGATGTTGTCTCTGCTGCTGCCGATGTTGTTGCTAATGCCCTTGTTCGCTCTGTCTTAGGGATGGTATACGAATACCAGAAGCCGCCCGGACTGAAGTCAGGGTCAAGGTCCGGAGGGTGTGTCCAGTTGGTGAAGTTAACTATGGCGTCACTGTCGGCGGTGCCAAAATCGGGAACGAAGTCCAAGACGAAGACGTTGTTCTTGAGGACCGCCTTCCCGATGTAGAGACCTCCTCTCCCATGATACAACTTGAACTCCTGGATGGTGCTGTCTGCTTCGAGGTGAATACCTTTCGCCATCAGCTGACTGACACTCAGTAAGTTGTAGCCGAGGCCTTCTGCAATTAAAACCTTTGACATCTGTAGTATGACGTTTGTCTCTCGCGACTGAAGTTGTACGATTCCTTGCCGTCGTGTGCGCAGGTTCTGGTTGTTGGCGACGGTTATGACGACTTCCCGTTGAAGCTGGTATTCTTGTTGTACGAAGCGTCCTGAAGAGCACATGTGCTGTCCGCAACAGCTGTCCAAGAACCACGTGTCTGTCCCTGAAGGCTCGCTTTGGGCGATGGCGGCGTACGTTGGATTTGGTTTGAGTGCTTCGCGGCGAGGTGTGGTGTTATCGAGATGGTCTTCTGGTGAGTAATGTGGCGGTGACTCGGTGATGCAGGATTCGCTCAGTCTTGCCATGCAGCTGATGATGTTTCTTGCTCCTAGTGCAGGTTGTCCCGGTGAAGTTGAGGCTTGGACCTGAGTCGTCGGGTTCGCCTGTGTTGAAGTCACTTGACTGCTTGAAGGTCGTAGTTGCCGCTGCAAAGCAGTTAACTGTTGTCGATTCGGGCAGTGCGTGCGTGGGTGCCCTAATGTCTTGCAGATGTGAAAAAACGGAGGTACTGGCTTCGGCTGCTGCTGTCGGTTGTTGTAGTTGTTGTGTCGTCGCTGAGAATGGAAAGCGAATTCTGACGTTGTCGTCTTTCGTTTGTGTCGTTCTTCTTGCAGATCCATGTCCTGCTGCTCGGCGTGTATTTCGGCGCAGAGTGCTGCTTCAGAAATTCTTCCGTGGGCTCGAAGAATTGCTTTGGTGGCGCGACACTGAGGACCGAGGCCACCGATGATGACTGTTACGAAGGCGTCTTCAGAGATTGATCCTCCGCATCGAAGAAGCTTGTCGCGCAATTCGCGACATCGGCTGATATACGCCAACCCCTTTTCTCCTGGTTTCATTTCAACTGTTGTCAACTGCGCCATTAACCTGCTCTGGTTTACACTGTCTGTTGCTTGATACAGGTTCTTCAGATGGCCATACGCGAGTTCCGCCGAGTTGCCGAAGGTCCGGTAAGAGCGAATGTTCTGCTGCTGAGTTGGTGTGATGTTTCTCAGTAGAATAGTATACGCCATCATCGATTGATACGTATACTGCTGCTTCTCATACTGTGTGCCGTTTGCTGGATACTGCAGGGATCCGTCGAAGAAACCGAGTATCTGCGCGCCCTCCATCATTAGCTCGAATTCAAAGGACCAGGTGAAGAAGTCCTTTCCGTCAAAAGGTCTTGATGTTTGCAGTTTCAAGACATGCGCGAATTGCGACTGAACTTGTAATGCGTCCATTGGTTTGTCTTGCGCAGATGGAGGTTGAGGCAGGAAGCTGATCGGCCCGCGCTCGTACGGGGCGAAGGTGGGTTGCTGCTGTTGATTCCCTCGCGCATATGACGACCCATCAAGGCTCATGGGTGTCGCTCCGTTGTTGCTGTTGTGTGTCTGTGCAGGTCCCGACTGCTGGTGTTGCTCGTAGAAGGACATGAAGGAGAAGAATTTCTCCATCATGCTCTGATCAAAGTCAGAAGGATGGTTCGTGGGGGTCTCGGTTGACGTTCCCCTTGGTCTTGCTGCCGTGCCTTCCTCTGTCTGCAGGCCAGAGGCTGGCGGTGGAGTAGGAGTAGTGCCCGAGGAGCCATTAGGGGAGCTCCTTTCCTTGTTTGTTGCCATGTCTTGTAATGATCTTGAAAATGTAGAGTTTCCCCTGTATGCTCTCATACCATGTTGGGCTGAAAAGGCCTTAAGGATCTTTACAGAGGATAACTCTGGGTAGGATACTTTGTAATAGCGGAAGCGTTTAATGAAGCTTTGTGAACCGACCTTGCACTAGTGTGTGAGAGCAAAGTAGATTAAATTATAGTGAAAGGATACAAGCTTATATAATAATACAAGGAATATGAAGAGATACGGTTATAACTACTTTTACTGTTGCTGTTGCGGTTCGATACAGTGCGACTCGGGCAACTGCTCTGTAACGAGTCAGTTGTGTGTCCTTAACTGTCGCGCTGTTCTTGTCAGGTCAAGGGTCAGCGACCTTTGACTTTCGCATAACTTCCTGCAGCCGATTCAACCTCCGAGGGTTGACTCGCAGGTGCTTCGGTATAGGTTGCCTCGCTTCTGGTGCAATGTTTTGACACTGTTGAAGCGTTTAAGTTCCATTGTTTCCAACAGCGCCAACTCGCACTCTACTGTTGGAGTGGCATGCCCATATGCCTGTACGGTATTGTAAACAACATTCCACTAGGCCACAACTGGTTGTCAACCATTGTCATTCATGCCCCCCAGCATCCTGTTAAAATTGTGCACACCGATCAACATAAGCAATAGAAAGATGCAACCAGAAGATGTTAAACATTTGATACCACCTTTTTTAAGTGTTAAATATAAGCACCATACACTGACATTGGAGTATTTTGATACCCAAAGCCCCCACCATTTGTGACGTTGCAGAGACAATGTGGGAAATAACAGAAAAGGACATGCTAGAGCGCTCTTGAAGTCAATCCTGTATCCATGAATAATAAGATGCATAGCCCACACGTTCTACTACAAAGAGCTGCTGCTGTTCTCGTATCCCTGTTGGCACGGCGACCTGTTGTGCATACCAGACGCCGACCCCTCAACCTCCCGTTGCAATGGCATGCCCACATGGCTCCAACGTTGCTCCAGACCTGCAACGTTCCCATGCATTGGCATTCCCACGCGTCCCCATCGTTGGTTAAGGGCTTGGACGTACCCAAATTGCCCTTGTAACGCATCCTGGGACCCAAATTGGCCTCTCGTATCCTGCTGCCCTCCCATCCCATGCTGCCCTCCCAACCCTTGCTGCCCTCCCAGCCCCTGCTGCCCTCCCAACCCCTGCTCCCCTGTCATCCCCTGCTGCCCTCCCAACCCCTGCTGCCCTCCCAACCCCTGCTGCCCTCCCAACCCCTGCTGCCCTCCCAACCCCTGCTGCCCTCCCAACCCCTGCTGCCTTCCCAACCCCTGCTCCCTTGTCATCCCATGCTGCCCTGTCATCCCATGCCTCCTTGCCATCCCCTGCTGCCCTCCCAACACCTGCTGCCCTCCCAACCCCTGCTCCCCTGTCATCCCATGCTGCCCTGTCATCCCATGCCTCCTTGCCATCCCCTGCTGCCCTCCCAACCCCTGCTGCCCTCCCAACCCCTGCTGCCCTCCCAACCCCTGCTGCCCTCCCAACCCCTGCTGCGCTCCCAACCCCTGCTGCCCTCCCAACCCCTGCTGCCCTCCCAACCCCTGCTGCCCTCCCGACCCCTGCTGCCTTCCCAACCCCTGCTCCCCTGTCATCCCATGCTGCCCTGTCATCCCATGCCTCCCTGTCATCCCCTGCTGCCCTCCCAACCCCTGCTGCCCTCCCAACCCCTGCTGCCTTCCCAACCCCTGCTCCCCTGTCATCCCATGCTGCCCTGTCATCCCATGCCTCCTTGCCATCCCCTGCTGCCCTCCCAACCCCTGCTGCCCTCCCAACCCCTACTGCCCTCCCATCCTCTGCTGCCCTCCCAACCCCTGCTGCCCTCCTAACCCTGCCTGTCCGCTGCTCCCCTGCTGCCCTGTCATCCCATGCTGCCTTGCCATCCCCTGCTGCCCTCCCAACCCCTGCTGCCCTCCCATCCTCTGCTGCCCTCCCAACCCCTGCTGCCCTCCTAACCCTGCCTGTCCGCTGCTCCCCTGCTGCCCTGTCATCCCATGCTGCCTTGCCATCCCCTGCTGCCCTCCCAACCCCTGCTGCCCTCCCATCCTCTGCTGCCCTCCCAACCCCTGCTGCCCTCCTAACCCTGCCTGTCCGCTGCTCCCTTGCTGCCCTGTCATCCCATGCTGCCTTGCCATCCCCTGCTGCCCTCCCAACCCCTGCTGCCCTCCCGTCCGCTGCCGCCCTCCCAACCCTGCCTGTCCGCCGCTCCCCTGCTGCCAGGCCATCCCCTGCTGCCTTGCCATCCCCTGCTGCCCTCGCAACCCCGGGTGTCCTCCCATCCCATGCTGCCCTCTCAACCCCTGCTGACTTTCCATCCCTTCCAATCCGCTCCCACCATTTTGTTCCAACCGTTCAGCTCCTCCCTGCTGTTCCGTGGTAGACCGAGATCCATATCTGCCTCTGCCTCTCCCTCTCCCTCTCCCTCTCCCTCTTCCCCGTTCTCCTCGGCTTGCATTGCGTCCCCTGCCTCTGCCCCTACCTTCATTTGTTGCACGTTCCTCTCCTGCCTGTCTTGCCACATCACGCTGCAGGAGTAATCCCTGCATCCGCCGTATACGCCCTGCAATCACGTCCTCCGCCGTCCTCAACCCTTCCACCCGCTCGGCCACCGAAGTATCCGACACTCGTCCCGCCTGACTCTCTTGGGTGATGTCTATCTGTGTCGCCCCCGAATTGTCCGTTTGAGTGGGCAAGTCTGAGTTCGTGGTTGTGCGTTCTCCAAGACCAACATCACCGGCAGTTCCGGGATCCCTACCAAACACCTCGACCAGCGCCCCACCATATGTCACGGCATCACGATCATCCCGTCCCTCCTCATCCACTTCACCAATCCCTTCAACCAAACCGACACTCCCATCATCCTCGCTGCATGACTCCTCCTCCATATCACCTGGCTGTCCTTGTCTACGCATGGCTTGACACCTAATCCCTCTGCGATGCGTTCGGTTGCAAGCGTTGCACAGGGCTACATGCACTGCACCATCTGCGTCCGTCATTGTTTGCACTGACAATTGCCCTGCGGGGGTTTGTAAAGCTTCCCACAACACTCTGTTGGATGCACGGACCTCGCAAGTTCGGGCACTATGACCGTACTCACCGCACTTTCCACACTTGCGCAACTTGATTGGGTCCATCTCTCCTGTGGACCGCATTCTACGCTTTGGGGGCCGACCAGCCTTCTTCTTGTAGACCGGAGGGAGGGTAACGCCGTCAGGGACCACAGAGGTTGGGTCGAGAAGTCGGATCGGCGTTCTGTACACTTGTTGCAGTGCTGAAGTTGTGTGATATTTCTGGATCACTGCGTGCGCCCTCTGAGCATCGTTTTTGAACACGGCGAAGATGTGTACGCATGGCAGCCCGTATTCCCTGTTTTTGGGATAAATGGGCGATGAGATAAAAGGGGATTAACGCATAACTGAAACCAGCAGGATTACGGTAGCTAAAACCAGCAGGATCTCATAACACACATGAACACTTGGGTAAAATAAGCCCACATTCAGCAAATATGATCGCAGCAAACATATGTACACACGACAATTTGGCGACCTTATGCTCCTGCATGGACAAAGTGGAGGGATAAGGAAGGTTCTTTGAGTTGTAGGCAACTTGAAATTTCAGTTTAAACCGGATATCTCATATCACCATATTTCCCATGTCGCACGGGGAAGGCTCATGATAAATGGGACAAATGGGCAAAAAGTTAGAGAGGGTATAACGTAGGGGAAAATGAGCATAAGGTTGTAGAAAACATGATAATAGCAGCAGGAACGAGATTACATGGCTCTTAGGCCGAAGATGATGTTGGAAGAAATGAGCAGGAAAGGGGATTTCATAAGTTACGCAGACTAAACATGATAAGTGGGGGCTGAAATTTGGAGTGGGTACAATATGAGGGTTGATCTTGCATGACAATTGGGTAGAGCTTCCCCTAGTAAATGTTGACAGCATCATCTTCCTGCACATCAAAATTGCTACAGGACCAAAAGATAACGGATGGAGGGATACCACACGAATGTTTGCAAGTTATCTTATACAATTCTTGTTAGAAAATGAACGATGGCTGATGTTACCAATGCACTTCAGCTAGTTTGGACAAAAAGATCATGCAGATTCAACATGTGTATTCAACCTCAGCCTCTCACCTTGAACGTATGAGGCGAAACATGTTGTTCCTCACGACCGCCTCAAGCTCTGTTGGACAATAAGACCATGCGGATATAGGGTGTAGTATTGTGCATAAGAGAGAATGGAAGGGGGAAAATTAAGAGCCTTTCAAGAGTTAGGGAACAAGAGAGAATGTCACACAGACAAGAGAGTGTATGAGAGCGTATGAGAGGGGATGAGAGGGGATGAAAGGGGATGAGAGGGAAAGAGAGGGAATGAGAGGGAATGAGAGGCGATGAGAGGGAACGGGAGTATGTGTACGGGGATGAGAGGGGATGAGTGTGTATGAGAGGGGATGAGTGTGTATGAGAGGGGCTGAGAAGGGGTAAGAGGGGATGAGTGTGAATGAGAGTGTATGGAAGTGTATGAGAGTGGATGAGAGCGGATTAGGGGGTATGAGTGTGTATGAGAGGGGATGAGAGTGTTTAAGAGTGTATGATAGTGCATGAGAGAGGATGAGAGGAGTTGAGAGTGTATGAGAGTGGACGAGGAGGGATGAGAGTGTGTAAGAGAGTGTATGAGAGTGTGTGAGAGGGGATGAGAGGGGATGAGAGGGGATGACCAGGAATGAGAGTGCACGAGAATGAAAGGGAGTGTAGGAGAGTATATGAGTGTGTATGGGAGTGTATAAGAGGGGATGAGAGTGTATATGATAGTGTATGAGTGTGTATGAGTGGGTACGAGAGTGTATGAGAGGGAATGAGATGGGATGAGAGGGGATGAGAGGGAATGAGAGTGTATGATAAGGGATGATGAGTGTACGAGAGTTTAGGAGAGTGGTTGAGAGTGTATGAGAGTGTATGAGAGTGAACGAGAGGGGATGTGAAGGGATGAGAGGGGATGAGTGTATATGAGAGGGGATGAGAGTGTGTGAGATAGGATGAGAACGGATGATAGGAAATGAGTGTGTATGAGAGTGAATGGGTGTGTATTAGGGGATGGGAGTGTATGAGAGTGATTGTAGGAGAGGGAATGAGAGTGGTTGAAAGTGGATGAGAGTGTATGAGAGTATATGAGAAGGGATGAGAGTGTATGAGAGTATATGGGAAGGGATGAGAGTGTATAAGTGTGTACGGGAGAGTATGACGGGATGATAGCGTATATGATAGTGTATGGGAGGGTATGAGAGTGTATGAGAGGGGATGAGTGTGTATGAGAGGGGCTGAGAAGGGGTAAGAGGGGATGAGTGTGAACGAGAGTGTATGGAAGTGTATGAGAGTGGATGAGAGCGGATTAGGGGGTATGAGTGTGTATGAGAGGGGCTGAGAGTGTATAAGATAGTGGATGAGAGGGGATGAGAGTGAATAAGGGTGCATGTGAGTGTATGAGAGAGGATGAGAGGGGTTGAGAGTGTATGAGAGTGGATGAGGAGGGTTGAGAGTGTGTAAGAGAGTGTATGAGAGTGTGTGAGAGTGTATGAGTGGGGATGAGAGGGGATGAGAGGGGATGAGAGGGGATGAGTGCTCATGAGACTGTATGAGAGTGTATGAGTGTGTATGGGAGTGTATACGAGGGGATGAGAGTGTATATGAGTGTATATGAGTGTATATGAGTGGGTACAAGAGGGTATGAGAGTGTATGAGAGAGGATGTGAGGGGATAAGAGGGGATGAGTGTGAATGAGACTGTATGGAAGTGTATGAGAGTGGATGAGAGCGGATTAGGGGGTATGAGTGTGTATGAGAGGGGATGAGAGTGTATAAGATAGTGGATGAGAGGGGATGAGAGTGAATAAGGGTGCATGGGAGTGTATGAGAGAGGATGAGAGGGGTTGAGAGTGTATGAGAGTGGATGAGGAGGGTTGAGAGTGTGTAAGAGAGTGTTTGAGAGTGTGTGAGAGTGTATGAGTGGGGATGAGAGGGGATGAGAGGGGATGAGAGGGGATGAGAGGGGATGAGAGGGGATGTGAGGGGATAAGAGGGGATGAGTACTCATGAGACTGTATGAGAGTGTATGAGTGTGTATGGGAGTGTATACGAGGGGATGAGAGTGTATATGAGTGTATATGAGTGTATATGAGTGGGTACAAGAGGGTATGAGAGTGTATGAGAGAGGATGTGAGGGGATAAGAGGGGATGAGTGTGAATGAGAGTGTATGGAAGTGTATGAGAGTGGATGAGAGCGGATTAGGGGGTATGAGTGTGTATGAGAGGGGCTGAGAGTGTATAAGATAATGGATGAGAGGGGATGAGAGTGAATAAGGGTGCATGTGAGTGTATGAGAGAGGATGAGAGGGGTTGAGAGTGTATGAGAGTGGATGAGGAGGGTTGAGAGTGTGTAAGAGAGTGTATGAGAGTGTGTGAGAGTGTATGAGATGGGACGATAGGGGATGAGAGGTGATGAGAGGGGATGAGAGGGGATGACCAGGGATGAGAGTGCACGAGAGTGAAAGGGAGTGTATGAGAGTGTATGAGTGTGTATGGGAGTGCATAGGAGGGGATCAGAGTGTATATGATAGTGTATAAGTGGGTATGAGTGGGTACGAGAGGGTATGAGAGTGTATGAGAGGGAATGACATGGGATGAGAGGGGATGAGAGCGTATGAGTGTGTATAAGAGTGAAAAATAGGGGATGAGAGTGTATATGAGTACATATGAGTGAGTACCAGTGGGTATGAGAGTATATGCGAGGGAATGAGATGGGATGAGAGGGGATGAGAGGGGATGAGATTGAATGAGAGTATATGGAAGTGTATGGGGGTGGACGAGAGCGGATTAGGGGGTATGAGTGTGTATGCGAGGGGATGAGAGTGTTTAAGAGTGTCTGATAGTGCATGAGAGAGGATGAGAGGAGTTGAGAGTGTATGAGAGTGGATGAGGAGGGTTGAGAGTGTGTAAGAGAGTGTGTGAGAGTGGGTGAGAGTGTATAAGATGGGATGAGAGGGGATGAGAGGGGATGATAGGGGAATGAGAGCGTATGAGAGTGGGTGGGAGGGAATGAGAGCGTATGAGTGTGGGTGAGAGGGAATGAGAGCGTATGAGTGTGGGTGAGAGGGAATGAGAGCGTATGAGAGTGGGTGACAGGGAATGAGAGAGTATGAGAGTGGGTGAGAGGGAATGAGAGAGTATGAGAGTGGGTGAGAGGGAATGAGAGCGTATGAGAGTGGGTGAGAGGGAATGAGAGCGTATGAGTGTGGGTGAGAGGGAATGAGAGCGTATGGGTGTGGGTGAGAGGGAATGAGAGCGTATGAGTGTGGGTGAGAGGGAATGAGAGAGTATGAGAGTGGGTGAGAGGGAATGAGAGCGTATGAGAGTGGGTGAGAGGGAATGAGAGCGTATGAGAGTGGGTGAGAGGGAATGAGAGCGTATGAGTGTGGGTGAGAGGGAATGAGAGCGTATGAGAGTGGGTGAGAGGGAATGAGAGAGTATGAGAGTGGGTGAGAGGGAATGAGAGCGTATGAGAGTGGGTGAGAGGGAATGAGAGCCTATGAGAGTGGGTGGGGGGAATGAGAGCGTATGAGAGTGGGTGAGAGGGAATGAGAGGGTGTGAGAGTGGGTGAGAGGGAATGAGAGCGTAAGAGAGGGGGTGAGAGGGAATGAGAGCGTAAGAGATGGGGTGAGAGGGAATGAGAGCGTATGAGAGTGGGTGAGAGGGAATGAGAGCGTAAGAGAGTGGGTGAGAGGGAATGAGAGCGTATGGGAGTGGGTGAGAGGGAATGAGAGCGTATGAGAGTGGGTGAGAGGGAATGAGAGGGTATGAGAGTGGGTGAGAGGGAATGAGAGCGTATGAGAGTGGGTGGGGGGAATGAG